AGGGAGGGAGAGGGTTGTGTGGGAGGGAGGGAGAGTGTTGTGTGAGGCTCGTGCTTACCTTTGAGGTGGACACTGACCCTGGGTGGAAGGAAGGCCAGGGAGGGGCCAGATTGGGGGAAGAAAGTTAAGCCGAAGACAGGTCGTGAGTGGAACGGTAGAAGGATGGGGGGAGGCGAGTGTGTGGGGCTTGTATCTCCTTTACAGTGGTGATTGCGCAGGGAGGAAGGACAGAGAGGAGCCTGCTGGTCGGGAGAAAAGTGAGGCGGTTTTTAACTGTTAGGGTCTTAAATGGAACCATGGGGGAAGGCGGGTGTGTGCGGCTTGTACCGGGAGGGAGGCAGTGGATGGGGGGGAGAAAGGTCAAGGTGTTTTACTCGGACAATCACCAACCCTATTTCCGGATTCCCTGTCTCTCTTCCCCGTCTCTCCCCCTCCCACCCCCCCCCACCCCCCTTTTCTCCCTCCTCCTCTTCCTCCTCCCATCTTTCCAGAGGACAAGCCAGCGACGGTGGGCACGGAGAGCAACATCGAGAGCATGTTCCAGGTGGAGAAGGCGCTCAGGGACCTTGCGGCCCTCAAGGTGGAGGAGGGCGTGCTTCTCGCCATGGCGCAGCACCGCCGCCCCGCCCTTCTGAAAGTGCACTCTGCTCCTTCAGGTGGGTCGGTTGTTTCACGTGAGGCTGCTTCATGTGAGGCTGCTTCACGTGAGGCTGCTTCACGTGAGGCTGCTTCCTGTGAGGCTGCTTCACGTGAGGCTGCTTCACGTGAGGCTGCTTCACGTGAGGCTGCTTCATGTGAGGCTGCTTCACGTGAGGCTGCTTCCCGTGAGGCTGCTTCACGTGAGGCTGCTTCACGTGAGGCTGCTTCACGTGAGGCTGCTTCCCGTGAGGCTGCTTCACGTGAGGCTGCTTCACGGGAGGCTGCTTCCCGTGAGGCTGCTTCATGTGCGGTTGCGGTTAATCTGGTGGGGAAGAGCGCTCAGGGAGCTGGCCGCGCTGAAGGTGGAGGAGGGCGTGCTGCTGGCCATGGCGCAGCACCGCTGCCCGGCGCTCCTGAAAGTGCACTCTGCTCCTTCGGGTATGTGGTACTGGGTGATTATTGAGTCGACTCAAAAATACTCTGCGGTGTATTTTGAGTCGACTCAAAATACTTTGGGTAAGAGGTACTTCTCTTCTTGTTGGAGAAGGAGCTCATGGTGGAGGAGGGCGTGCTGCTGGCAATGGTGCAGCACCGCTGCCCGGCGCTGCTCAAAGTGCACTCCGCGCCCTCAGGTAAGACTTTGCTTTTCAGGTGGGGCTTCAGGTGAAGCTTCGGGTGGAGAGCTCGGGGCCTCTGCTGGTTCAGGTGGCCTACTTTTCCATCACATTTTTGCTACTCCTTTTCTTAACATATGATGCTCTTTCCTAACCCTATCCGCGCCTGTTTCATCTATTAATTTCCACTTTCCCCCTCTCTCGTTTCCTCTCGTGTCTGCAGCTGCCGAGGAGGGCCCAAGGATGGTCGAATCCATGGGTGAGTCGCCCTGCCCTTCCTCCCGCCATCCCTTTTCGCCCCTTCCCTTTCTTCTCCCCCGGTGCCCCCCCTGCTTTCCTCCTATCCTGCTCTTCTCTTCTACCTACTATTTTCTCTTTCCCCCTGTCCTTCCCAAAAACGTTACATCAGGCACTAATTGTTCGTGGGCCTTGCCTTTCTCTCAAACCTGTCGTGTTACATTGTAACGCGGTGACTTTTGAGCCGACTTAAAAGTCACCATTTATTAATTGTTTGTGGGCCTTTCCTCGCGCTCAAACCTCGCTGCCCGCTGCTTTCTCATACATCCTTCCGTCCTCGTCACTTGGTTTTCCAAGTGAATGTTGCGATCACTTTCTCCCCATTCTTCCCACTCTCTCGCTCGCTTGCACACCTGAGGGACAAGGTGATGGTGGAGGATGTGCGGTTCAAGCACAGCTGGCTCCTGTACTGGTGGTAGCCCCACCCACACTCTACGCCCGCATCTTTCCGCCTCCCCTGCTTCCCTCCTATCCCCGCAGATTTCGCGACGAGGAGGTGGAGGATGTGAGGTTCAAGCACAACTGGCTCGTGTACCGGTGGCGGTTCCACACTCCCACTCCTTTCCTCCACTTCCACTTTCCCTCTACGCGTACAGACCTGAGCGATGACGAGGTGGAGGATGGGCGGTTCAAGCACAACTGGCCCGTGTACTGGCGGCGGCAGTCGAGAGACCACAAGCTGTTCTCTTACCCTCTCCCTTCCTTCCCTTTCCCCTCTACGCATACAGACCTGAGCGATGACGAGGTGGAGGATGGGCGGTTCAAGCACAACTGGCCCATGTACTGGCGGCGGCAGGCGCGCGACCACAAGGTGTTCTCTTGCCCTCTCTCCCTCGCATCTTAGCCTCCCTCCCTCCGTTTCTCCCTTGTAAACAGACCTGAGCGATGAGGAGGTGGAGGACGTGAGGTTCAAGCAGAACTGGCTGGTGTACTGGTGGCGGCGGGCGCGCGACCATAAGGTGGAGCCGGACATCGCAGCGGAGCGCCTGGCGTACTGGATCTCGAGGAGCACTGTCAAGCCGACTGCTCACGATGCTGTGGACGGTGAGTGTGGGAAGCAGGGTTCAGGGTGCTGGTAGTCACTTGGGACTGATTGATTGATGGACTACAAAAGGTGGAGCCGGATATCGCTGCGGAGCGACTGGCGTACTGGATCTCCAGGAGCACTGTGAAGCCCACAGCGCACGGTGCTGTGGATGGTGAGATGAAGGGATGGGAAGAGGCAGGTGTGCATTGAGTCAAGGGGGGCAGGGGGAGTGAGTGAGGTACCATGAGAGACTGACTGAGGGACCACAAGGTAGAGCCGGATGTTGCAGCTGAGAGGCTGGCGTCTTGGATCTCTAGGAGCACTGTGAAGCAGACTGCTCATGACGCTGTGGATGGTGAGGGACGGGGGTCAGGTATTATCACACGCTGACTGAGGGACCACAGGGTCGAGCTGGATATCTCAGCGGAGAGACTGGCGTTTTGGATCTCCAGGAGCGCTGTGAAGCCCATGGCTTATGATGCTGTGGACGGTGAGTGAAGGGGGTGTAAGAGTGCGTTAGTCAAGGGGCTAGTCGTTAACGACTGGCACACATGGATCACATGACACCCACTAAACACCCCCTCCTCTCCCCCTCCCCCCTTTTCCCCCTCCCCCACTTGCACTCCCCCATATCCTGCTGACATCATGCTGACGTCACCAGCGGAGCGCGGGCTGATGGAGGTGCGCAAGCTCAACCTGGAGCAGCAGATGTGGGATGCTTCCAGGAAGGATCTCGTTGCCGAGGCTGCAGCGGCCGCTGCTGTGGCGGCTGTGGCTGCAGGGCCGCCTCCCTCCAGCAAATAAGATGCCAGCACCGCTCTTCACCACTTTCCACCTCACTGGACCAGCTTGAAACGCTCTGTATATCGCTGTCATCAGCTGTCCATGCTCCTGGTGACCATTAACTTACAGTTGATGCTTGCTTCCTCTCTGCTCCATCCACTCCCCGTTTTTCATGGCCATGTATTTTGGTGCTTGATTTGTGAACTGCATGTTCTTCGTATGGCCGGAATTGTGTAGTCTCTTTGAAAACAGGTGTGTCCATGTCAAATCCTATTGTGTGATTGCATATAGGTATATTTCTGTATTGTTGTCTTTGTATAGCTGACATGAAATTCATAAGTGCAACTGTTTTACAAGATACAGTAACCTAACAATCTGCTAGTTTTTTCACTTGACCGAACATGTGAACAGCTACTTTGTGTACGCTGAAGACTAGCCAACGAAATTGGCAGGGGGATTGCGTTGCGTTGGTTTCAAGCCGAGGTGTAGGCTGAAGCCTCTCCCTCGGGCAGCTTGCCAAAGTATCGACACGACATTCGATGAAACCGAGAACGAATTCACTCGTGACACATTTGACAGGGCAAACGTGCCTCCAACGGCTATTCTCTGCCCGTCCCAAACACGGTCATGGCATCGACGAAGAAAAGGGGTGGTGGACAACCATCATGCATGCCATACGGTTGAGAGAGAGGCGATTCCGCGGAACTGTGGATGAGTGTGTAACGATCAGATGAACTGTGCTGCGCTTTCCACCATGAGACGAAACGGCCTCGTAGGCAGACGCTTTTCCCATCCACCCCGTTTTGTAAAATCCCCGCACCTTCCGAGCGTAATCTCCGCCTGCAAAAGTTTACGTCATGCTAGGGCTTGAAAAACGTACACCAATAGGACTTGAACGAATGTGAGGTATGGCTGGAAGGACCTCTCGACTCACAGCCAAACCAGCCCAACCGACATGCATGAGCTTTGGCCAGTGGCCATCCCTTCTCCAGACCAGTCCCTAGGCCCGGTCGGCGGCAGCCGCTTTCTGGCCTTTTCCCGCCATTAGCCAAATGTCGTACGCCGCCGCGTTCGGCGCGACAACGCTTGACCTGGCCTCCCCTCCTCCCCTCCTCCCCTCCTCTCCTCCCCCCCACCCCACCCCTCCCGTCACATGTGTGAAGTCAAGGTCATCTGACGCACACCCGTCATGTCATGTCAATTCACACCTCGCACGATACAGTTACAAGCAATTCAAGCATCCCTCCTGTCCTCAGCACTGTGCAGGTGGCCAATCCCCTGGCCGCGTTTCACGTCTCCTGCAAGTTTCGATGAACCAGGTCGTACGGGGATGAATTTGTTCCTCCATGGGTGACCTGCCAGTCAGGTCACCCATGACAGCACAACACACTACAGTACCGCGAGACTAGCTACCATCACCACTCCCAAACCAACCAAGTCCTCTCGTACCGTTCGCCCGTTCATTCGCTCACTCCTCCCTCTGTAACGCGTTCGCTTCGCCCCAGCCCGCTCGCTCACTTGCTCCCTCGCTGCCTCCCTCCCAGCATCTCGCGCCCTTCCCTCTGCCTCCCTTCGTGGCTCTGCTGGCGTTGATTGAACGCCTTTCTACGCCTTTGCCACCCAAAAGCCATGCACGTCTCTTTCACCTCCCTCACACATCCCAGCCTCCACCCATTCTCTCTATCCACCAGACGCCCTTCCTATTGGGCGTGCCGCTGTGAGTTGACAGAGACTGCAGGTGGAGCGAGCATTCTACTGCAGGCCTGACAACAGGCTCTCTGGGACCTCCACTGTAGCAGCTGATGCCCTGCGCGCCTCCCCTGACAATCTCTTCTGACAATTTTGGCGTCTGATTACAGTGTCCTCAAATGTCTGTGTGCGATGATGGGCTCGTGGACGTAGACTTAGGCTTCGAGCACACCAAGCACGCTCCAGAAATCGCGGTTATGTCGAGAAGCGCTAGTGCGGAACGAGGGTACGGAGGGTATGGAGGGGCAAGAGGCAGGAATGGCGGGCGGACTCGCGACACGTTGCTAGAAGAATCGTTCTTAATTCCGAATTCCGGCCACGTGCGCGCCGTGCTGATGGTCGACGGGATTGTGTGGCACAGGGTGGACGAATCGGCCAGCCAGGTAGATTTTTCCAGGTGAACTAGTGTAGGTCAGTCGGTGGCTAGCTAAGTTACGCCCGAGTTAGTAGGTCATGATTCCGCGTCTCGTCCCTTTTTCCAGCTCGTACTGTCCGTTAGCGTCGGCATATCGTTCTTAAAAAATATCTCGGTGACTCCGCCGCTCATATTGCGGACGCATTCCAACGGGTTGCCGTCTTTTCTCGTCCGTGGATTCTCGTCCGACTATTCTCGTCCGTCGATTCTCGTCCGTCGATTCACGTCCATCTATTCTGTCAACTCTCGTTTTCGTCCGTCAATTCTTGTCCGTCTATTGTCGCCCGTCCATTATCGCCCGCCATTTCCTTCTCAGTCACGCTGATCGGCCTTTTCTCTTTTCTCTGTTTCTTCCCTTCCCTTATCCCTCTTGGCGTACTCCTACCAGGGTTGCCCCGCCACCTTCCCGTGCCATGACTGCGGCTCGGGACAGCCAAATGCCAGCTCAGCACCCATCGGCGAAATCTACGCCGTCGAAATGCTCGCAGAGGCATCCGTTAAGAGCAGCTTCTTTGCGAGTCCCGCTAAGGTACAGTGCTTCGTCAAAGTACACTTCTCTGGTAGAACTATGCCGTCGGTTCCGCTGATTATTACGGGCGCTGAAATATAGACGGTTGGACGGTTAGGCTGGTACGCGGGTAGACGGGGTGGCACTGCGAAGTATTATAACGGCCGAAGCCGGAAGCAGGACCATGTTCCATGGGCCAGGCTGCTATCATGCGCTTGAGGGCGGGCGAAAAGCGCGGTTGAGAAACGCGCGGGGGTGAGGAGCGCGCACGCTGCGGAAGGCGGAAGCAGGGCCATGGTCCACGGGGTAGGCTGCTATCATGCGCGCGTGAGAGCGGGCGAGTGGGCGGGTGAAAAGCACGCGGGCGAGAAGCACGCGGGCGAGAAGCACGCGGGCGAGAAGCACGCGGGCGAGAAGCGCGCTCGCTGCGCGCCAATTCGTCTTCATCCGTTGCCCAGTTCTCCCCGCACTTCTGCACCACCCCCCCCCCTCCTCCCTCCCTTACACCCCCTCAACTCCTCACCCTTTCCCCTCCTCTCCCGTCTTTCCCCCTTCCCCTTCCCCCCTTTCCCAACCCCCCCAACAAACCCCCCCCCCTCCCCCCTCCCCCCCCCGCTCGCAGATGCATCAATTTGCGGTGCACACCTTCCGCCGCTCCGCCGACCGCTGGATTCCGCTCAAGCTGGTCTTCTGCCACGTCAGCGCTGACGTGTGCCAGCAATGGACGGACCGCATCCTCTCGCTCCTGCGCGCCGACCCGGAGCGCCCTAGGAGCCTCCTAGTGTTCGTGAACCCTATTGGCGGGCGCAAGAAGGGTTTAAAGACGTGGGAGGCGGTGCGACCCGTGTTCGACCGCGCGGGTGTCGCCGTGCAGGTAAGGGTGGTTACCAGAGTTTGCGAAGTGTTACAAAGCGAACTAACGGCGAAAAGGGTTACAGCAGCGGTGGGTTGGAGCGCGTAGCAGTCGCATATCGTTATGCTCCTCTTTCTGTGGCCGCGGCAGGTTCCGTCGCATACCCATTTTCGCGACTTGCTCGTTGTTCGCAGGTGGTGATAACCAGCCGTCGCAACCACGCGCGCGACATGCTGCAGAACGCGTCGGACAAGGAGCTCTGCCAGCTCGACGGGATCATCGTCGTGGTGAGTCGCACACACAGTCGCACACATAGTCGCACACAGAGTCGCACACATAGTCGCACACATAGTCGCACACCGAGTCGCACACAGAGTCGCGCAGCCACGCTATGGCATGGGTAGTCGCACGCCATCGCATGCGTAACACAACACCACCATCTCCCTCCCTTCCTGTCACCTCCCCAACACCCATCAGGGCGGCGACGGGTTATTCAACGAAGCCCTCAACGGCCTGGCGAAGCGCCGCCACCGCGCGTTCCCGTGCGTGAGACCCGCGCGCCTCTCCCTACCGCCCCCTCTACAGTCAACCCCGGTAGAGGCAGAAGCGCGGCGGGCGGGAGGAGCGCCAGCAGCAGCAGCAGCAGTTTTTTGGGGCAGCAGCGTAGCAGCGACACGCTTTTACAGAAGGCTAGGGTTGAAAGCGGACCCCAATGCGTTGCTCTAGAGAAGGAGGAATGCGTAGCGGACGGAGTTAGGACGTTCAGGGACAATGGAATAGCAGGACGGGATTTGGAGCAGTTGCCAGACTGGCAAGTTTCAACGACAGCAGAGAAAGAAGAGGCGGATGAGGAGGAGGAGGAGGAGGAGGAGGAGGAGGAGGAGGAGGAGGAGGAGAGGCAGGAGAGGCAGGAGAGGCGGGAGAAGGGAGAAAATGAGCTTGTAATTGTTTCGGATGGTGCTGCCGACGCTGCTGCAGGCTTGGACCAAGCCTGTGCCTCTGGTTTGGAGAGAAGGTTGACGCTCGGCAGGTTCTGCAGGCAGGAGAGCCAAATGGAGGCAGATTCACTGCATCTGGACAGCACAGTCAAGGCAGGCGGAATAGGAGGAGGAAAGGAGGGGGATGAAGAGGAGGGGGGAGAAGAAAGGGGAGAGGAGAGAGAGGAGGAACGAGGAGGGGAGAGAGGGGAGGAGGGGGAGAGGGAGGGTCGGAAACGGCTGGGAAGCAAGGGGTGGCTGGCTGCTGCCGGATTAGATTTGTCCAGCTGGCGACAGAATAATGACAAGAACATGGCCGCATGCAGACAAGCTGACGGGCGGCTCGCTGACGTGGACTGTGATGATTCGCCGAGAGGCGCAGGCATGGGTCTGGATGCCCCTGGTCTGGATACCCCTGCTGGTTTGGGTACCCCTGGTGTAGATACCCCCGCTGGTTTCAATTCTACTGGGTATGGTTATGACACTCCCAAAGGCTACTATGCAACCCCCAAGGCCGGGTCGTACTATGAGACTCCTAAACCCGGGAGTGGCGGGGGTGGCTACTATTTCCCGACTCCCAAGGAGGGCGGGATGAAGGGGTTCTACGACACGCCCAAGGCGCAGCAGGCTCGGCGCAGCTTCGGCCGAACCAGCTTTGATCCGGGAGCTAGGAACGCGACTTTCTTGAGTGACTGGGGTTCGCTGAGGGAGGGAGAGGAGGGGGAGGAGGAGGAGGGAGGGGAGGGAGGGGAGGGGGGAGGAGGGGTGGAGTTTGGGAGGGGAGTGGGGGAGGATGGGGGGGTGGGGCTGTGCCTGCCTAGGCGGCTGAGGATTGGGATCATCCCTGCTGGGTCGACCGATTGCATTGCCATGAGGTGAGGGAGGGGAGTGGGGGGAGGGGGGGAGGGGGGGAAGGGGGGGAGGGAGGATGGGGGAGGTGTGGGGTGTGGGTTATGGGGTGTGGGGTGTGGGGTGTGGGATGTGGGGTGAGAGGGAGGGGTGGGGCTGTGCTTGCCTAGGAGGCTGAGGAGTGGAAGTATTTCTGCTGGGTCTACAGATGGCATTGCCATGAGGTGAGGAAAGGGGTGGGGGATGGAAGGGAATAACGAGGATGCGTATAAAGAGGTGTGGGGCCGTCCCTGCGGTAAGAGTGCCTGCTCCCTCCGTCCCTGCGGTAAGAGTGCCTACTCCCCCCCTCCCTGCGGTAAGAGTGCCTACTCCCCCCCTCCCTGCGGTAAGAGTGCCTACTCCCTCCGTCCCATCCTCCGTTTTCCCCCTGTACCCCGTATATGGTTGCTGCTCACCTCTTGTCCAGTCCAGTTGTATTTTGAGTCGACTCAAAGTACCCCGTATATGGTTGCTGCTCACCTCTTGTCCAGTCCAGTTGTATTTTTAGTCGACTCAAAGTACCCCGTATATGGTTGCTGCTCACCTCTTGTCCAGTCCAGTTGTATTTTGAGTCGACTCAAAGTACCCCGTATATGGTTGCTGCTCACCTCTTGTCCAGTCCAGTTGTATTTTGAGTCGACTCAAAGTACCCGGTATATGGTTGCTGCTCACCTTTGTCATCACACTTTTCGGGACAACCTATTCTGAAGACGACCTATTCAAAAATAGACTCCCCCTGTACCCCGTATATGGTTGCTTCTCACCTCTTGTCATCACACTGCACCCCTTTCTTCCCCACCTGTAGCCTCGTTGGTTCACGGGACCCTGCCACGTCAGCACTCAACGTTGTGATTGGTCGACGCACTCCCATGGACGTTGTCAGGGTATCTTCCTGGAAACCCGCTTCTTCTTCCTCTTCTTCCTCCTCTTCTCCCTCCTCCTCTTTCTCCTCCTCCTCCTCGTCCTCCTCCTTCTCATCCTCCTCTCCCCCGACCTCTGACCCTCCTGCGCTTTCCACATACCAACCTCCCACCTCCGAACCTAAATCCTTGCCGAACCACCCACCCGAACCTACAAACTCAGCTTCGGGCCAAGCCGCTGTCCTAGCTTCGGCATCTCCTCTCTCCTCCTCCACCCCTTTCTCCTCCTCCGCCCCCCTTCCCCCTCCTCCTCCCTCTCCTCCTCCTCCTTCTCTGCCTTATCTGAGACCTCGATGACTCGGCTCCAGGTTGGCGCTGATTCAGCAGCCGAGGTTGCTGAGTCAGCACAACCAGCAGGAGAAGAAGAGAGGGGAAAAGGAGGAGGAGGGGAGGAGAGAGGAGATGTGAGTGCGGCAAAAGGGGGAGCGGCAGAAGGTTCCAGGAAGGAGCACGAGGAGCAGCAGATGGAGTGCGATGTTCGATATGCCGCATCATTCTTTGGGTAAATTACCCTGTCCCTTCTTGCGTGTGAATCTAAGAATCTAAGTGAGCTCACAAGCACATGACCAGTTTTTTGCAGACTATCCTCTCGTGTGCCTCACTCCAGTTTTGATTGGTGTCGGTGTTTGAAATTCCAGAAAAAAAAGAGAAAAAAAACTACTCGTGCGAAGACCATTACCCAACCGTTACCCTCAAGGGCCTCACTCTTACACTGAAGCCACCTTTTTCTGGCCGTTCACAAAGCCACCTTTTTCCCTACACTCTCACAGCATCCCCCCCTTTCCTTCTCTCAGCTCCGGCTTCTACGGCTCAGTGACCAAGGAGAGCGAGGCTCTCTCACTCAAAAGTCTCATTCAGTCATCCCCCCCCACCCCTCCCCGCCCTCGCCCCTCTCTCTCTCTCTCTTAAAGCCCCCGTCTCATAATTCTAGGATCCGACCAAGTGTAAAATGCTTGGTACCCAGTTATGCTGGCGAATATGAAGAGACAGGCAAGGAAGTGCCTCGGACAGTGTGTTTCTTGCTGGGGGGCGAGACCAATTGTAAAACCAGCAGTGAAATAGGAGAATGAGCAAGTTCACGGAAGAATGGGGACGTTGGACCGTTCGATCGTCTAGAAGTTCGGATCCGACGGTTCAGCGAGTGTATTACTAAATCTACCGCTGTAAACGAAGTGGAATTTGGCTGTGCAGGAAAATTGGATTCTGCACCGTCCGATGTAAAACGAACCTCCAGACTGATGTGCAAAACCTATCGCGAGCCACCCTTCCCCAAACCTGTTTTTGGTTCGGGTGTTTTGCCAAAACAAAATGGTCTCGCCACTTGCGTTTCGTTTTTGTCATTTTTTTTATACCTCGCTTACCAATCAGAGTTTGCCTGCTCCAACCAAGTGTAAAACTCTAGTAATTATGAGACGGGGGCTTTAATCCCCACGCCCCCTCCCCTTCCCTTCCCCTCAGCTGTGGCTTCTACGGTGCAGTAACCAAGGAGAGTGAGGCTCTTAGGTGGATGGGGCCCACTCAAGAGTCGCCTCCTCCTCCTTCCCCCCCTCTCCACCACTGCCCATTCCTCCCCTCCCTCCCAGCTACGGCTTCTACGGTGCGGTGACCAAGGAGAGCGAGGCTCTCAGGTGGATGGGGCCTGCCAGATACGACTATGCGGGGTTCATGACGTACATGCGGCACAGGTAGGGAGAGGAGTGGGCAATACATGCCAGATATGCACCAAGGGGTGGGGCTATGCTGTGTGAGGTGGATGTGGCACAGGTGGGCATGAGGCAAAGGCAGGCATGAGGCATGCCGCATGGGTGTAGAGATCAACTCACTGTGGTGAATCGGGTTTGTGGTGAATCGGGTTTGTGGTGTATCGGGTTTGTGGCGTATATGGGGCGCAGGTGGGGAAGTAGAGGTTGGGCAATCAATCTGAGTCATAGGTAAGCTTAGACTGCTTTTTGAGGTGGATGGGACCCGCCACATACAACTATGCAGGTTTTTTTTTTTTTTTTTTTTTTAACATAAAAAATGACTCTCAACTATGCAGGGTTTTTTTTTTATAATTATTCTAATTTTTTACTCAAGAATGCAGGGTTCATGCTGTATATGCGGCACGGGTGGGGGGGGGGATTGAGAAAGGAAGGCGGCTGGATTTTGGGGGGAAAAAAAGGGAGGAAGGGGGGGAATTGGGAGGGGAGAGAGGAGAGGGGGGAGTGGGAGGGGGAAGGCAGGGGGTTGTTTGGGAGAGGGATTGAGTTGATGCGGCTTTGTACATTTTCCATCATGTCTGTACGAAGGGAAGGCGTGAGTCGTGACACACACCAACCTCTCCTCCCCCCTTCCCTCTCCTCCCCCCGTCCCTCTCCCCCCCCCCGTCCCTCTCCTCCCCCCTTCCCTCTCCTCCCCCCTTCCCTCTCCCCCCCCCGTCCAGAGCCCGACCAACCTCTTACCCAACCTCCTCCAAACCCCAACCTCGCTTCCCCGCCCTCTCCTTCTCCCTCCCTCCCATGCTCTCTCCCGCACCATCTCCCACCCACCAGGTCCTACGAGGCGGAGGTCTCCTTCTTCCACGTGCCGGAGCCCGACCAACCTTCGGCACCCAGAAAAAGGTAACTGCGAGTGGCCTCCCCACCTTTCACGCCACTGCCTGTTTTTAAGAAAAAGGTAACTGCTCGCATGTCCCCACCTTTCATGCTGCTCCCTCCCCCTTCCCACTTCCCCTCCCACTTCCTTTCCCTCTCCTCCCCTCCTCTCCTCTAATACCCACATTCTAATAACCTTCCCCCCTGGAAAGCTCCCACCTCCTCTCTTGCGCTGGTGTGTGGGGATTGTTTTATTTTATTACCCTACGTCTCAAAGCTACACTTCTATCACACGCTCCCTTTCCCACTCCCCTCCCCTCCTCTCCTCTAGTACCCACATTCTGATCCAATAACCACACCACATCCTCCACATTCACATTCTTTCCTTCTTGAGAGCTCGGCCGTGCCTTCTCTTGAGCTTAGTATGGATGATCTCTTCCAATTTCATCCCTATCTTCGCCTTGCCCCCCACCCACCACCTAGCAGCACCAAGCCCCATGCGGAGATCTGCACTGTTGGATGCTCCGTGTGCGCCAACGGCCAGGATCTCTCGCTGCTGGCGCGGTCCGCCCTTGGATTCGAGGCCATCGGCCCTTCCCAGTCTGCCGTCGGCCTGGCGGCTCTCCTTGAACCCCTCACTTCTCCTAGTGCTGTTGCAGCTGATGGTGGTGGTGGTGCTGCTGCTGCTGCTGCTGCTTTTGTTGCCCCCCACACTGAAACTGCTTGTGATAGGGTGGCTTCTGGTGTTGATGCTGCTGCTGCTGCTGCTTCAGCTGATACTGCCACTGGAGCTGCCGCTGGAGTTGCTGCTGGTGCTGCCACTGCTGGTGCTGCTAGTGCTGCCACACCCACAGATGATGCTGCTTCTGCTGCTGCTCCTCCTCCTCCCACGGTTGCGGCATTCTTTGAGTCTACTACAGACTGTTCCTATGACGATGGCACGACAAGTCAATCGCCCAGCGCTGCCCACGCTGACGTGGTAGCGTCGCTGCAGCCGCTGACGTGGGACGAGGCGACACCAGGCTGGTGCACCGTGAGAGGCCGGTTCCACAGCGTGGGCGGCGCGGTGATCTCGTGTCGCAACGAGAAGGCGCCAGATGGTGTCGCGGCGCACGCCCACCTGGCAGATGGAAACCTGAACCTTATCATGATTCGAGAGTGCTCCCGACCCGAATACCTCCAGTAAGCTGACATCGAATCTATGCGCTGTTCCTTTCACGCAATAATAACATAGTCGTCGCTGATTCCTTCCCCCTTGCAGCTTGTTTCTCTTAACTTCCAGAATCTCATCTTTTATGTTTTAGTGCTCCTGGAATATCTCCAGCAATATTACCAATTTTCTCCTTTCAGTGTCTTGATTTCTGTTTTAAGTTGTAACCATGCCTGTGTGTCGTTGTGTCTGCTGCCGCCCATCCCCAGGCAGCTGCTGTGTCTGGCAATCAAAGGCGCGGATCCCCTCAACTTCCATTTCGTTGAGCACCACAAGGTGCGTGGGTGGGTGGGTGGGTGGGTGGGTGGGTGGCACCCCCCCCATGGTGGGGGGTGGGTACAGGTGGGGTTTTGGCTATACAGTGTGCATCTCATGCGCAATCAAGGGCGCAGATTCCCTGGACTTCCATTTCGCGGAGCACCACCAGGTGCGTCTGAGATGGTTCGTCGTCAGTTCAACAGTCGTCCATCGCTCCGTTTGTGCATTGGTCCATCGGTCCATAGTCCGCTGTCGGCTGTCAGCTATTGGCTCAGGTGTTGTCTCCTCTACCTCCTAACCCCCTTGTCCTGCTTTCCCCCACAACCTCCCAGACCCCAGCGTTCACGTTCAAGGCAGTGGGCGAGCAGGGCTTCTGGAATGTGGACGGCGAGCTGGTGGAGGCGAGTGAGCTGTCAGCTCAGGTGTTCCGAGGGATGGTGGACATGTTTGGAAGCGGACCCGAGGTGTGAGGTGTGAAGGGTGACGTGAGGTGTGAGGGGGTTGTGAGGGAGTAATAAGGGGTGGCACAAAATGGGAGGGTGTGGGAGGGACTTTTTAGGATTCTCAGTGTAGGTGAGGCGTGAGGGAGTGACGGGGAGAAGAGGGAGAGTAGGAGTGATAGTAGAGGCCAGCAGTAGGATGATGGATGAATCATTTCTAATTGTATGTAATCTTCTAACTAGGTACATGCAAGCATGTGAGAATCTTGTTGCGCTATGCTGTACTTTCTCTATCGTGGGCCCTTACCAGACCCAATCGTCCCAATTTTGTGAATCGAAGCGCAAGTTAGTCACTTGAATACAAAATTATCAGACGATTTTTTGTTTGATGCATGTTGAAGCCTTTCTCTTGATGCATCTAAACCAAGTGATATACACCCTCCCCCACCCCACCCCCCCCCCCCGCCCCCCCCCCTTTATATGCGCGCCCATAGCCACTCGTCAAAGTTTCCCAATGGCATTCCCTATGGACTGAAGCTGTTCACCCTCGTCATGGCATTTTACGCCTGATTGGTCGCTGAACTCTTGCTGGCTCATCCATCATCAATGACGCGTCCGATCGCAGCCAATCAGTGTTGTTCGCACCCCTCGATTTTCTTCACTTGCGACGTTAGCCTTTTCGTAGAGCGTCGTCCACCAATCTCAGAAACAGGGAGCCCCAAGTCCACTCCCATCCATGACTTTACCGTCGCTCGTTCCAAATCCAGCTCTCCAATCAAGTGCGGGGATGTCAGAAGTGCCCTGATAACGCCGTCAAATACACGCGGGCGGGGCGGACGAAAACGGGTCGGCGGAAGGCTGGCTAACAGAGTAATTACCCTAAATGTAGCGAAATTAAGAGTTGTTTCCGACCTGATTCCGTTTTTCGCATAGTTAACGTTTTTAATTCCGTCTGCCGAACGAATTACTTTTCGTGCGATTCCTTGACATTGCGGGCTACTTTTCTTTAATTCCGTACGCAGTGCATTTGTAGTAGGAGATCTGTTCGTAGTGGTGTATAACCCTTCCCACCCTCCCCTCTACTTTTCCCAACTTCCTCCACGAAGCAAAGCGCGAGGCTAGTTGCCGGGAGTTTTTCCACTCTTCCAACTGCCTGAGGCGGAGTATGCGCGAGAAACAGTCCCTGGGGTTTCGATGGATTTTCCTTAGTCGTGGCCGAGGCCATTTGCATTCAAGGATGTTAGTATCAAACCAAGAGTAGCTTTTCGAGGAATCCGTATGCTAACGGGTAGTCTCGGCGATTCCTTCCGCTAGCGGGTATTTTCGCGGCCGATTCCGTGACCTAACGGAATACCCAAGGCTTAGCGAGAGCCCTGGTTCCAGGGTTCCCTCTGGAAGGGGAAGCGTCATCGGGAAATGCCTTTCCTGGAGCTCCCTCTGCCTCACTGCAGAACCATTCTCGAGGTTTGGGAAGAAAGCCGCGCGGTGCTGGCGGGACGGCGGAGCAAAGGTGACTGGCGCGCGCAGCCTGGCTCTCCTGATGGTGGTGGCGCACTGGCGCTGCAGAATGGCACATCCTGATAAGAGCGCGTTCAAAGTGCCCAGAGAAACCGTCGAAGAAGCAGATGTCGAAGCACCGATCTGAAAGCTGTCTGCAAACCTTTACAAACATATACAAATGTAAAACACCGTGCTGAATCTACGACGGTTGTCAGCGGATGTTGCCGACATCCTGGTTAGGACACCGCCGAAGGCTGCAATGCTAGCTTCTTCATGTGTGGTGTGCTGCACTCGTGCGCCCATTACAGTACAACTTCAAGGGACGAGTACGAGATTAGAACTCCGCTCTCAGGGTGCTCTTTAGGGTACTCTTGGAACCTGACACTTCGCATATCGTCCAATACCATCCGAGCACAGGCACTGGGGCTCCACCGTCAGCTAGGAACGACTATCAGAGGGGCCTAGGAATATTGTCAGAAGGGCCTAGGAACCACTATCAGAGGGGCCTAGGAGCAACTATCAAAGGGGCCTAGGAGGCACCATCAGAAGGGCCTAGGGACGACTTTTAGGGTGGTCATGTCCTCGCGCCGGGTTGGCTTGTCGTCACCACACTGGTTACGTTCTTGGCCGGGTCTCTACCACGTGCATTTTATACCTTAAACTTGCGGCTCTTAGCGCGTACAAAAGGTACTAGCTTTCCGCACGGCGTGCCTGGCAAGGGGATGACGTCTGGTTCCGCATTTCGTTCAGGTGTCACCAAGCAGTCATGTTACGACATTCGCGTTATTTCCGCATTAGTTGCCTTTTTGCATTCCGCCGTCATGAGCTCTTAACGATGCTCGTGTTTCCCCTCGTCTTTTCCCCTGACACGCAACCCTAATCAGCTTGCATCCACATTTTTGTCTCAACATTTTCACACTTAGCTACCTCTCGCTTAGCTGAGAGCTTTTCCTCAACCCCGTACTTAGCCATGAGCATTTAAGTTGGCTAAGCGGGTTCTGCATGGCATCCTCTTGACCATCGCAGCTTCATGATTCATTATTCTATTCTGCCAGCTAATCTAATTATTCTCGCTTCGTTTTTAAGTCCGGGCTGACACCTGACCGCTTGGTTCCATTTCACTGCACGCTCGTCACCGTCTGTGCACGCTTGAATTCCCCAGGTTGACATCTGACCGCTGCGTCACCGTCTATGCACGCCCAGGACCATGTCCAAAGTCTCCGGCCCGAAACGGGTCGTTGTAACCTCCGCCGCGAAACCCGGAGATCCAGTGTCCCGAATATCGTCGTACGGCGTGGAATGGTCCGGCGTGGACCGCGATTGGGCTCACAGGGACGGTCGGCATGAGAGGGACGTACGGGGGGAGGCGGAAGATGAGGCGGAAGCGCAAGCGGAAGCGGAGGAATGGGAGGGGGAAGAAGAGGAGGAGGAGGATCCCGTGTGCCCGCTGTGCATCGAGCACCTGGACAATACCGAAGTTCGATTCCGACCCTGTCCCTGCGGGTAAAACTCCGTCCGCGCTTTCGCATTTTGCCAGGAATTGATTGCCTGTCACAGTGCGAATGAGCAGCGGGACGCGAGCTGCGTGCGGCGAGGCCGTTCTTGGCGGGGATTTTATTCCCCGGACCTGGCACTGCTAGGCACCAGGCCTTGTGAGCCTTGCAGCTCTCTCTTTGTCTCTCCGACTTCACTGGTAAGTGTGGGTGGGGTAGCCACGACACAGGTTGCGTCAGCGCACGTGTGGTGGTTTCTTTTCCACAAGTCTGGGAGGTGTAGGTGGCAGGAGGAGGCAGCGTACGAATGGCCTCAGGTTTAGAATCACTAGCTCTAGCGCTCTGGCGCTCTGGCGCTTCTCGAGGTGATTTCTGATGAATGGCCTTAGCTTATGATGAATGGCCTCACTCGCCAACCACGGTGATCGCTTCATTCCTCTCTGTGTTTCGTTTCTTGGGCATTCTTACACCTCGTTCCTCCACTTACATCTCTTCTATCTTTCCATGCTTCCTTCTACCCATGCCTCTTGGCCCGTTCTCCGACGCCAGGTACCGCGTGTGTCTGTCTCTTCTGGTACGAGCCCAACAGCATCAAGCTGCCAAATCCCCAGCCTACCTCCCATGCCTCAATCTCCCTTATCCCTTACCCCCTCTCCCCTCTCTCCCCCCACGCCAGGTACCGCGTGTGTCTCTTCTGCTACGAGCGCATCAAGCTGGAGCTCAACAGCCTCTGTCCCAGCTGCCGCACCCCCTACGGCGTCCCCCAGCCCCCCTCCCCTGCCGCTGCTGATAGGCCATCTGTAGCAGCCGGGGCAGGCGGGACAGGTGGATTCGTAGGGTCAACTAGAGCCGCTTCAGGGAAGAAGACGAAGGGCACGGCCAATGGGCGCGTGACAGGTGGCAGCGGCTGGTGGGAGAGCGGTAAAGGGGTGGAGAGGGTCCGTGGTGGTGGTGTTGTTGTGGGATATGGAGGGGGAGGTGTGTGGGGAGGAGCCGGAGGGGGGGTGATAGTGGTGAGATCGTCTGCTGGGGCTGGCAGGCTGTCTGTGAGTGGTGCGACTGGGAGGGCTGATGGCCTCGGTGGAATTGCTAATGGCGTTGGTGGTTCTTCTCCTGCTGCCACAGCTGCCGGTGGTGGTGGTGCTGCTGCTGCTGCTGGGTTTGGTGCTGGTTTCAGCGGCGGCGGTTTTGGCAGGATGATTGGGGGAGTGAGGGGTTTCAATCCGCCTATTTCCGCCATGGCGTCTTCGCCTCTCATGCAGCTCTCGCCCTCCTCTCCTCTCACTGGTACGCCACTTGGATTTGATTGAGACGTTGTATGTTCAATCCTCTCCTCTCCTCTCCTCTCCTCTCCTCTCCTCCCCTTTCCTCTCCTCTCCTCTCCTCTCACTGGTGTGTATATCACTCGAACTGCATCGCCCTCCTCTGTGCACCCCGTCATTTTGTGCCACAGCCTTGCCCTTGCACCTTTTGTTCCATCAGCCTCCGTATTTCATGTCCCTAGCAGACAGGGGGTTCTACTGTTCTCCTATCGTGGATTCCTGGTGAATCCCCTTCATTTGTTTTCAGGCGTGTCAAAATCTACAGTCTTTGAGGTTGCGGATTTTTCTTGAAAACGAAACAGCCACAGTGAAAGTGGGTGAAAGGCAGCTTCAGAGTGATATCAATCAGTTAATGCGTGCAAACTAGCAGCGCAGTGCAGGCGTGCTTACTGTGAGGAGCAATGCGCACAGGCCAGCGGAGTCTACTTTTAAGCCGTCTCAAAATAATATTTTCTAGGAGTCTATTTTTTAGGCGCCTCAAAATTAGAATGCTACCAATCAGCTAATGCGTGCAAACGAGCTGTGAAGGCGTGCGTGCTTACTGTAAAGGAGCCATGCGCACAAGGCAAGCTAATAAACATTGTGTATGATGATGCCATTAAATTTACCGAAAATGAATCACACGACAAAAATGAAAAATGAATCACACAATATGCCTCTTGCCCACATGCCGTTCAATCCCCCATCTATTTCTTTGCATTTCTCTCTGCTATTGCCCCACAGCATCCCATAAGACCGTGTGGGAATGGCCGTCGCCTCTCACTCACTCCCATCTCTCCTGAATTTCCACGTCATCTCTTTTGGGCCATCACGCACCACCTCTCACCCCACCCAACACTTCACCATGCATCCTCCCACTCTCGCCTTTTCCCATCCCACATTCCATTATTCTACCACAGGGTCCCATAAGTCCGTGTGGGAAAGGCCCACTGCTCTCACGCACTCCCCTCTCTCCTGGGTGTCCACGTCATCCCTGTTGGGCCACCATGCCCCTCTCAACTCCACGTCAGCAGCTGTTGCCACGTCTGCTGTTCGTTCTACTTCGTCCTCTTCCTCTACTTCCTCCTCCTCCTCCTCCTCCTCCTCCTCTGCTCCCTCCTCCTCCATTCCCTCCTCTGCCGTTTTCCTCTCACACTCAGCCCCAAGTAACCTCGCCCCACTAGCAGCTACAGTCTCTTCGGCTACAGCCATCGCTACAGTACCCGCTGCTACAGTGCCCGCCGCTACAACCGCTGCCGTGGAGCGCGCTCTAGCATCTGTAGCCACGGGTCAAGCCAGGCGCCCAGGTCAGGTGCACGGTCAGGTGCAGGTTCAGGGTCAGGGACAACAAGGGCAGGCACAGGGGCAGGGGCAGGGGCAGGGGCTGCAGGGGCAGGGAGTGCAGGGGCAGGGAGTGCAGGGGCAGGGAGTGCAGGGGCAGGGAGTGCAGGGGCAGGGAGTGCAGGGGCATGGGCTGGTCCAGGTAGGGCCGGTGATACTGCAGCAGGGGCTGCGGGGCACCAGCCTAGCAGCATCGCTGCCTGCCAGGATCAGAGTGACAGGGGATGGCGTCCTGGCTGCGCCCTGGCCGCTGTTGGGAGGTATGGGGCTGGGAGGGGGAGCGGGACTGGTGGGAGTTGGCCTGGTGAGCCGTGCTGGGGTTGCAAGTGGTGGTGGTGGTGTGGGCGGTGTGGGCGGTGCGGGTGGTGGTAGTGGTGGGATACTGGCAGGATCTGCGGGTGCTGTCAGTGTTCCAAGTGTGGGGGGTACTGCTGCAAGAGGGGGAGCAAGTGGTTTGATTAGTGCTGCTAGTGTTGCCTCTAGTGGGTTGATTGGTTCTGGTGGTGTGTCAAGTGGTGTGTCAAATGGTGTGTCAAGTGGTGTGGCAAGTGCCCTGGTCGCTTCCTCCGGTGCTGCCACCAGTGGGCTGATCAGCTCTGCTGCTGGCGCGACCAGAGGCACTCTGACTGGCACGGCGGGAACGGTCAGTGCAGTCGGTGGTGTTCTGGTTAGTGCTGCTGCTGGGGCAGTGGGAGGCAGCGAAGCTGTTCTGGTTAGTGCTGCTGATGCTGCTGATGCTGCTGGTGCACCAGGTGGTGGCGAAGCTCGTCTGATTTCTACCAGGACTTCTACAACTGGCTTGGCTACCTCGTCTTCCTCCTCCCTTTCCTCTTCCTCCTCTTTCTTCTCCCCTTCTTCCTTCTCCTCCTCCTCCTCCTCCTCCTCCTCCTCCTCCTCCTCCTCCTCCTCCTCCTCCTCCTCCTCCTCCTCCTCCTCCTCCTCCTCCTCCTCCTCCTCCTCCTCCTCCTCCTCCTCCTCTTCCTCCTCTTCCTCCTCTTCCTCCTCCTCCTCCTTCTCCACTGGCTTTCCACCTTCATCCTCCTCCCCCTCCACCACTGCTTCCACTATCGCCATCACCACCAGCAACAGTGTCATTTCACCTGAATGCAGCAAGCCTGGTGATGGCTCTACCAGCGTTGAGTCACCAGGCATGCACGCCGCTGGGTCACCAGGCATGCACGCCGCTGGGTCACCAGGCGTGCACGCCGCTGGGTCACCAGGCATGCACGCTGGTTCTCGCGCTGGGCCAGGCACCGGCGCCAGTCGCACTGCCAATGCCAACACCAGCCGCAGCACAGCCAGTGTCAGCAGCAGCAGCAGCAGCAGCAGCGCCACCACCACCACAGGTCCGCTACTTGTCACTGCTGCAGTCGCCACAGGCTGCAGTAACAGCACCAGCACCAGCGCCAGCAGCAGCAGTACCACCACCACCACCAGCAGCAGCACAAGCCCAAGCAATGGTGAGAATGCTACATTTCTAGAGCAGGATAGCGCACAGGCACAGACAGAGACACAGACAAACACAGAGCCAGAGCAACAGACGGGCACACAGCAAGAGACAGGCGCACTGAATTGTCAACAGGCACAGAGAGGGGGTTTGCAGGGTGTGCAGCAGCTGCAGCAGGGGTGGCAGCACGTGGCAGCAGCAGCGGCGGGGGTGGGGTGGACAGTGGATGAGAAGAGCCTGCTTTTGAGTCGATTCAGAAGCTGGCAGCAAGCAGCGGCGGCGGGGGTGGGGTGGACAGGGGATGAGATGAAGCGAGCTGGTGAAATTGTGGCCGCTGCCAGGCGCACGCACAGCAGATTCTCCTCCCTCTTTGCTGCCTCGGGGCGTGCTGCTGGTGGCGGGGCTAGTGCTGCTGGTGTGGGTGGTGTTTTGGGGGCTTCTAGTGCTGCTGGTGCTGCTGGTGCTGGTGGTGCTGGTGGTTGTGGGGGTGCTAGTGCTGCTGGCGGGGGTGGTGGTGCTTCTGGTGGGGTTGGCAGCTTTGCAGGGAAAGGCGGTGGTTGTTGTGACGATCCTGTGATTGCTACAGCTGCTGCTGCTGCTGATGATGATGGTGGTGTTGCTGCCACTAGTGCTACTTCTGAAGCTACTGCCGCTATTGTTGGTACTGCTGGAGCTGCTGCTGCTGCTGGAACTGCTGCTGCTGCTGCTGGAACTGCTGCTGCTGCTGCTGATGCTGCGGATGCAGCTGCTGATGCTGCGGATGCAGCTGCTGATGCTGCTGCTGATGCTGCTGCTGATGCTGATGCTGCTGCTGATGTTACTGCTGCTGCTGCTGCTGCTGCCACTGCGGCCTGTGATGGAGAGAAGCAAGATACAGATGGCACACTTTACAGCGCTGCTCATGATGACGCTCGTCACAATGGTACGGGTGAAGGTAATAACGGATGTGTTCGTGATGGTGATGGTGCTGGTGGTGATGGTGATGGTGCTGGTGGTGATGGTGATGGTGATGATGGTGGTGGAGATGAGCAGCATGACCATGGCCACGAGGCAGTGTGGGCGTGGATAGCAGGGGGCGCCCCAGTACCCCATACCGCCTCTTTCTCCTCTCTGCTCTCCAGCCACCCACGCTCCCCTGCTAGCACTGTTGCTCTACCTGCCGTTACTGCTGCTGCTCCCATTGCTGCTGCCACTGCTGCCTCTCCTTCCGGCTTGCTTGAAATAGTGTCTCCATTCGCAACTGCCAAGGGCCAGGAGAAGGGGGAGGGATCAGCAGCATCAGCTACTGCAGCAGCTGCCTCTGCATCGGCAGCTTGTGAGGCTTATGTCGCCCTGCCTATTCTTACCGCCACACCTAGTTTCACCGCTACAACTTCCTTGAACAGTCACCACCGCCACCACCACGAGTCACCTGTTCCGCGTGCCTTCTCTGCCTCTGCCCTCCCCCTCCTCTCCTCCTCCCCCTCTATTTGGAGTCCTGCTGCCTCTCCTCTTAAACTTGCTGCAAGTCTCTTACCTGCTCCTGAGAAGCAGTGGGAGGGGCCGTTGGGAGGTAAAGGGGAGGTGGTATCTGGGGAAGGTGAAGGGAAGGTGTTGAGTGGGAGAGGTGGAGGGGAGGTGGTATGTGGGAAAGGTAGTGCAGAGGAGCAACTGGCAGCAGATGATGGTTGTGCAGAGACCACTGCATCGCCTGTGACTGAGGCTGCTCGTCTCTCAACTCCTGCTGCATCTGCATCTGCTGCTGCTGCTGCTGCTACTGCTGCTGCTGCTGCTGCTGCTGCTGCTGCTGCTGCTGCTGCTAATGCGGATGCTGCTGCTGCTGCTGCTAATGCGGATGCTGCTGCTGCTAATGCAGATGCTGCCGATGCTAATGCTGCTGATGCTAATGCTGCTGATGCGGCTGATGCTGCTGATGCTGATGATGCTGGTGCTGCTAGGAGTGGTGCTGTGACGACCAAACAAGGTGGGTGGGTGGGTGTGCTGCCTGCCTACCTCCCAGCCTCTCCCACACATTTCTTTCCAGAAAATGACAACAGGCCTGACAAGGGGGTACACTTCCGTCCTCGTTATTAGCCTCCTCGTTGTCAGTGCCAGCGTTGTCACTGCTGCTGCCAAGTGCGCTTTGCTGGTTACCCCATGTGTTGCTCATTCTTCTCATTCCTGTCGTTCTTGCCCTGGCCTCATATCAAACTCCTGTCTGTGTATTTTCTTGTCGGTGTATTTCATGTATGCTTTTTTTGCTCTCTGTGTCTTTTCTTCTCTGATCATTTTCTTGTTTGAATGTTCCCCCATCTCTCCACTTTCTTGCATTTTGGGTTGACACGATAACCACCACACCAGTAGAAGAGACCGATCCTGCTGGGCCAGAGAATAAGACGAGTGGTGCCTTTTTTGAGGCGCCTCAAAAACCGAGTCCTGCTGGGCCAGAGAATAAGACGAGTGGTGTTTTTTTTTAGGCGCCTCAAAAACCGAGTCCTGCTGGGCCAGAGAATAAGACGAGTGGTGCTGCTCCTGACAGCAAATCCCCCGTCTCTGCACCTTTCCGTCTGTTTGTCTTCCACCCTCCAGCGACAGAACCGAGTCCTGCTGGGCCAGAATAAGACGAGTGGTGCTGCTCCTGATAGCAAATCCCCCGTCTCTGCACCTTTCCGTCTGTTTGTCTTCCACCCTCCAGCGACAGAACCGAGTCCTGCTGGGCCAGAGAATAAGACGAGTGGTGCTGCTCCTGATAGCAAATCCCCCGTCTCTGCACCTTTCCGTCTGTTTGTCTTCCACCCTCCAGCGACAGAACCGAGTCCTGCTGGGCCAGAGAATAAGACGAGTGGTGCTGCTCCTGATAGCAAATCCCCCGTCTCTGCACCTTTCCGTCTGTTTGTCTTCCACCCTCCAGCAACAGAACCGAGTCCTGCTGGGCCAGAGAATAAGACGAGTGGTGCTGCTCCTGATAGCAAATCTCCCATCTCTGCACCTTTCCGTCTGTTTGTCTTCCACCCTCCAGCGATAGAACCGAGTCCTGCTGGGCCAGAGAATAAGACGAGTGGTGCTGCTCCTGATAGCAAATCCCCCGTCTCTGCACCTTTCCGTCTGTTTGTCTTCCACCCTCCAGCGACAGAACCGAGTCCTGCTGGGCCAGAGAATAAGACGAGTGGTGCTGCTCCTGATAGCAAATCTCCCGTCTCTGCACCTTTCCGTCTGTTTGTCTTCCACCCTCCAGCGATAGAACCGAGTCCTGCTGGGCCAGAGAATAAGACGAGTGGTGCTGCTCCTGATAGCAAATCCCCCGTCTCTGCACCTTTCCGTCTGTTTGTCTTCCACCCTCCAGCGACAGAACCGAGTCCTGCTGGGCCAGAGAATAAGACGAGTGGTGCTGCTCCTGATAGCAAATCCCCCGTCTCTGCACCTTTCCGTCTGTTTGTCTTCCACCCTCCAGCGACAGAACCGAGTCCTGCTGGGCCAGAGAATAAGACGAGTGGTGCTGCTCCTGATAGCAAATCTCCCATCTCTGCACCTTTCCGTCTGTTTGTCTTCCACCCTCCAGCGATAGAACCGAGTCCTGCTGGGCCAGAGAATAAGACGAGTGGTGCTGCTCCTGATAGCAAATCCCCCGTCTCTGCACCTTTCCGTCTGTTTGTCTTCCACCCTCCAGCGACAGAACCGAGTCCTGCTGGGCCAGAGAATAAGACGAGTGGTGCTGCTCCTGATAGCAAATCTCCCGTCTCTGCACCTTTCCGTCTGTTTGCCTTCCACCCTCCAGCGATAGAACCGAGTCCTGCTGGGCCAGAGAATAAGACGAGTGGTGCTGCTCCTGATAGCAAATCCCCCGTCTCTGCACCTTTCCGTCTGTTTGTCTTCCACCCTCCAGCGACAGAACCGAGTCCTGCTGGGCCAGAGAATAAGACGAGTGGTGCTGCTCCTGACAGCAAAAGGACCACAATCAGCCCCAGCCCCAATAACAGCACCACCACCATCACCACTGAAAGCAACAGTTTCAGCAATCCCAGCAACAGTAGTGACATCACTGCTATCGATAGCACCACCAATACCAGCAGCAGCAGCAGCAGCAGCAGCAGCAGCAGCAGCAGCAGCAGCAGCAGTAGCAGTGGCAGCAGCTGTGGAAGTAGTACCACCAGCAGCAGCAGGATTGTCGATAGCAGCAGCAGTTTCAACAGAAGCAGCAGGGAGGGCCCTAACTCTAAAGTGCCCTCTAGCCTACCCAACTCCCCCCCACCCCCTTCCTGCCAACCCTCTTCTCCTATCCCCTCTCTTCCCACTTCCATCTCCCTCCCTGCCCGTCCCCCTTCCCTTTCCCAAACCTCCAGCACCACCACCTCTTCCCCCTCCTCTTCTTCCTCCTCTTCCTCCTCCTCTTCCTCCTCTTCTTCCACCCTTTCCTCCTCCCTCTCTGACACGACATCATTCTCCTCCAAACTCCGCCTTACCCCCTCGTCCCTCTCATCCTCCTCATCCTCCACGTCAGCAAGCTCCACGTCAGCAGCAATCCGCGCAACCACTCTCTCGGCGACAGCTGGTGAGTTCATCCCTTCACTCCCGGCCACACCAGCCTCAGCAGCAATCCCCACAGTAGCTGCGGCGGCGCCAACTGTAACGGCAACTCAATCTCCTGCTGCTGCTGCTGCTGCTGCTGCTTCTGCCACTGCTGCTGCTTTTGCCACCCCCAGCACTGTCCATCGGTCCCTGTCACCCGCTCCCTACATTCCTATCCGCTCCTCCTCTCCTCTGCCTGCCCATTCCTCCTCTCCCCTTCCCCCGTCCACTCTCTTCAAGTCCCCCTCCGCCTCTACATCTTCTCTTGCCTCTCCTCCTCCTCCTGCTGCCGCTACTCTTGCTGCTTCTTCTCCTGCTGCTGCTGTCGCAACAACCACTAGTGTTACCCTCACTGCGGCAGCTTCCTGGCGACTTCCTCAGCGTGCCGCATCCCCGTCCCGAACCTCCCCATCCCCAACCTACTCTCTCCGAACCTCCCTGGCTGGCTCGTCATCCCTAGCCAGTGCAATTTCAGCTCCGGAGTTTAAATCCAAACTCTCTGCTCCGGAATTTAAACCGAAGCTGAATGCGCCCGAATTCAAACCCATTGGTGCTGCTGCTGGTGCTGATGCAGGTGCTGGTGCTGCGGTGGTTAGAGTTGCTGGTGGTGGTGCAACGGCTGTTAGGGTTTCTGCTGCTGGTGCTACAACTGCTAGGGTTTCTACTCCTGTTAAGACACAGCCTGCTGGTTCTCCCGCTGTTGCTCTTGCCTCCTCCCTCTCAGCCTCTGCTGCTACTGCATCCGCCTTCGTTCCCTCCTCCACTTCTGTGGTAGCTTCCAGCCCTGCTGCCTTCGCTCCTTCCTCTGTGTCTGCGGTAGCTTTCCGCTCTGATGCGGTGCTGTGGGGTGCAGGTGCTGCTGCTCCCTCTGATTCCATTCAGGGGGTGGCAGTGATCGCAGCGCGTGATGGAAGGATTAGACCAGTGGTCATGGGTATGGGTGTGGGAGGTGCACGAGAGCAGCAGGAAGAGGAGGGAAAGGATGCGGAGGAAGGGGTGCTAGGGCATGATTTGGGGGATGGTGTGTTTCTCCCGTCTACCCTCGACTCTCCCCCGCCGTTTCCCCGCCACCAGCGGCCAATCAGGCGACTGTTTGACCATAGGGAGGACATGGCAGTGGATGCAGGGGGCAAGGGAGGAGACAGAGGCGGCATGGGGGGAGTGGGGATGGCGAATGGGATGGGGAAGGATGGCATGGGAGAGGGCAGCATGCACATCCACTCAAGGGGCGGAATGCTCGAGGGGGATGGCATGGCTTCATCAGTCGACATGATGGGTAGCATGGGAAATGGCATGGCGAATGGCATGGTGATGGGCATGGGTGGCGGCATGGATGGCGGCATGGGTGGTGGCATGGGTGGTGGCATGGCTTACCATGGTGGGACGTGGGGCGATGGAGGCGCCGAGGAGCAAGGAGGGCAAGTGAATGGTCCAGTGTATCTCGAAGGCACGGAAGGGACGAAGGCTCATGCGGTTTATGGCACAGGGGCAGCGGCAGGTGGGTTGGTGGGATGGGGCAGCGTAGCCATTTATAGCCCCGAATTTGCTGGTAATAGCATCTCGGGGAGTGCCAGAAGACTCAACAGCGCAAGAAATAGCAATAGCAGCAACAGCAACAACAGCAGCAGCAGCAGCGGTAACAGCGGCAGCAGCAGTATCAGCAACAGGAGCAGCACCAGAAGCAGCAGCAGCGCAAGCTCGTCGTTCCTGTCAAAAACTTCTCTGGCCAAAGCAGCAGGAGCAGTTCCGTTTCGGCCCAAGGCAGTGATCCCCCCTCGCTTTATCTCTCCCACTGCTCCGGCCTTCGTTCCTTCCACTGCCTCCTCTCTCTCCTCCGCCCGCTCCTCTCACTCCTCTCTGTCCTCCAACCATCCCACTCTTCCCTCTGCCCATTCCTCTCACTCATCTCTCTCCTCTCACTACTCTGTGCCATCAGCTCCTCTTCGCTCCACATCCCCTGCCTTCACCCCTTCCAAGCTCTCACTCCATTCCGCCCCTTTCGCCCCTTCCACTGCTTTCCTCTCCCCACCGCCCCCCTCCGCTCGCCCATATGCTGCCTCTACTGCTGCTGCTGCCACCGCTGCTGCCGCTGCTTCTGCCACTGCTGCTTCGGCCACTGGTGCTGCCACTGGTGCTGCCACTGCCACTGCTGCCACTGGTGCTGCCACTGGTGCTGCCATTGCCACTGCTGCCACTGCTTCTCCTGCTGCAAACAGTGCGGCTTCTGCTGCAACGGTTGCAACAGCCTCTGCTTCTGGCTCCTTTGCTGCCTCTGCTGAGTCTCTCACCACACCAGCGAATGCACCCTCTGCTGTTGCCCCACTCGCTGCCTCTCTCACAACCGAATCTCCTCGCCATCCCTCTATATCAACCTCATCAACGAGTCTGTCAACTTCACCTCCTGCTGCTGCTGCTGCTGCGGCTCCAGCACCAGGAGCACCAGGAGCACCAGGAGCACCAGGAGCACCAGGAGCACCAGGAGCACCAGGAGCACCAGGAGCACCAGGAGCACCAGGAGCACCAGGAGCACCAGGAGCACCAGGAGCACCAGGAGCACCAGGAGCACCAGTAGCACCAGTAGCACCGGCAGCACTGGCAGCAGCACCAGCAGCAGCAGCACTGGCACCAGCAGCATCACCAGCAGCATCACCAGCAGGAGCGGCCGGCGCTGCTGCAGCAGCGCTTCCCATCTCCAAACAGGAAGGGGCGCACCCGGCTGGAGCCTCGCTGCTGAGAGCAGGAGCTGAGGAGTGGCGAGGCCCACGGGTTGCAGGGAGCAAGGAATCTGGTAGGGCAGTGGGAGCATACACGCCAGCAGCAACGGGGCCTGTAGGAGGAGCACATGTGCCAGCAGCAACAGGGCCTTTAGGAGGAGCAGTAGGGGTTGCTGCAGGGGTGATGGCAGGTGTGATGGCAGGTGCTGGGTTGAGCAGCAGTATTGGGCATGGCAATGGGATGTATAGCAGTGGTGGGTATGGCATGACTGGTGGCAGAGCAACGCACACTGGAGGGTCTGCAGTTGCCCTTCAAATGGGCGTTGTGTCGTCAGCAGGCATGGCAGCCTACCAGCCTGGCGGTGCGGCAGGCTCGGCAGCATTCCAGCCTGGCGGTGCAGCAGGCTCGGCAGCATACCAGCCTGGCGGTGCGGCAGGCTCGGCAGCATACCAGCCTGGAGGTGCGGCAAGCACGGCAGCAGCCGTGGCTACTGGGGCTCCACCTGCTGGCGGTGGCTTTGCTAATTCCAGTGGAGGGGGAGGGGTGCAAGGAATGGCGACCACTCATGCTGCTGCTGGTGCCATGGCATGGCGCCATGCTACATGGCATGGTATGGTCGGGTCTCCTCCCGCTACATGGCATGGAATGGTCGGCTCTCCTCCTGCTAGATGGCATGGCATGGTCGGCTCTCCTCCTGCGGCTCATGCAGGGCTGCCTAGTGCGCTTCCGTCATGGCATTTGGGAATGGGACCTACCAATACCACAGCTGTCCCCTCCGCTGCTTCCACTGCTGCTGCTGCTGCTGCTGCTGTCAATTACACTGGAGCTGCTTTCGGGGGCCATGCTGTGCCTGAGATGTCGTTCGGCATTCCTTCCGAACCTGGAAGTTTAGCTGGTTCGGAGGTCTGGTCCGGGACTGGTGTACTTGGTCCGGATGCTGCAGCTGGGGCTGGTTGGAGTCCTCCTGACGCATATGCAGGTTCGGCAGCCGCTTGGGCAGGTATGGGAGGGCATGTTGGTTCGGGTATGTGGTCCGGGATGAATGATGGTGCAGCAGCTGCTACTGCAGTGGGAATAGGTGGGGTACTGGGAGGGATGTGGCCGGGTATGGGGGAAGTGGGTGTGCAGGGTATGGCTGCTGGCATGGTACCAGGGGGGGTGATGATGGGTGGGTATGGCATGCATATGCATAGTGCAGGCGAAGTTGATGGGAGTTATGATGGGAGTGGTGCCGCAAGTGTTGGCTTTACTGCTTTGCATTGTCCGATATGTCATGGTTACCTTGCCACATCTCCGACTGATTTGGCGGCTCATTTGGATCATTGTGCTCATTATAACCACTAAGGCCTTACCTATACTCTGATGCTTGATTCATTTACACGTTGCTGTTTATTATGTGCTTCTCTTGTCTCTCTTCTGAATCTCTTCTCTGATTGTCTTACTAGTGTACATTGCCTTGTTAATATTTGTGGAAAGTGATGTGTTTGTTTGTTCCATGGAAACGGATGTAGTGAAAGCATGTGGCCTTTAAGGCTAAGACGATGAAGTACTATATCAAGGTTGCCAAAAGGCACGCCTGTGACTGCTGGTTCGGCTGCAATTCCCTCCATGCGCGTCGCTTTGACCCATGTCTCTCAAGCCCAGTCCACGACATTCAACGCCTTGTTGGTATAACCTTCCTTACACAGACGTAAAGGAAAGGCTCGGACCCCAACCGGGCCGCAAACCAAAATGAAACCGAGCCCAGCAAGCCGAGCCACCCATGCCGAACCTAATACTACAGGAATACTTCACGTCGCCCCTTTTGTTGACCAGTCTTTTCGCGATTCGGGAATCTCCACCCCTCAGTCAACCCAATCGTCGAGCGACTCGAGAGATCAGCAGCCCTATAAACTGGGTCCAGCATTTCGATTTCATTTCATCTCAAACTTTCCGTTCTGCTTTCCTCTGTTCAACCTCGATCCACATCCACACCACAGCCAAGCAGCCTACCTACTCAACTTCGATTGACCAAAATTCAATTTGTTTTCCAGCAGTCATGGCAGCCAGAGCCCTCTTCCTAGTCTGCATAGCTCTCCTCCTCGCGACTTCCGCCTTGGCAGCGCAGCGAGGCCCGCCTGGCGGAGTCCGTCCTGGCGGACAGGGGCAAGGGGGACAGCGCGGAGGGCCTGGCGGACCCGGCGGAAAGGGTGGACCTGGCGGGCCTCCTGGGCCACGCGGCCCTCCGCTGAACCTGACGGCCGTCGGCAATCTGACGGCGGACGTAGGCGGACGATTGGCGAATTGCTCCGCGGACCAGACGGTCCTCGACGGCGGCTTCCACCTCGCCATCTTCAAGTGAGCATCGAATCCCTCTCTCCATCTTTGTCGGGAGCTACAAAAACCGTGTCTGATTTTCACGATCTCATATTTTCAGGATCTCATATTTCCCTGTTTTATTGGATCTGGCTCCATTCTCGCCCCTCTTTATTTTAATATCGATTTCGTCTCTCCCTCCCCAACCTCAGGAATGCCACCGGCAACTTCAATATCCTCGCCGAAGCTCTCCTCGTAAACGCCTCCGGCGGGCCGCCCGACTCGCTCGCGATCGTGCAGGGCACCGTGTGCGACTCCTCCGCCTCCGCCGCCGCGCTGCTCACGCTGCCGTTCACCGCGTCCGACTGGCAGCAGCGCGCGGGCTGGTGGCTGCTGCACGCGGAGGCGCGCCTCGACGCGTTCCTCGAGAACGTGGACGTCGCCACCGTCGATGCGCTCCTCGCGCTCCTCCCCAACGCCTCGCTCCCAGCGGCTCGCGGCAGCAGCGGAAGCGGGGCAAGCGGGGGCAACGCGGGCGGCGTGCGCAGCGGGCAGGGCAGCAGGCGCATGGGGCTGGGGATGGGGCGGGAGCTGCTGATGCGCGCAGCGGGACGCGTCACTGGCGGCAGGCAGGGGGGACAGCAGCAGGGGCCGCCTGCTGGGGGTGCGGGGGGGATTATGGCGGGTGGCGGAGGCAGTGGCGGAGTGAACGCGACTGTGAGTGGGTATGCCGTCCTTGCCACTGCCACTGCTGCTGGCGTGGCGTGGGGCGGGCAGCTCATGGGGGTCAAAATGCCCGCCGCTGCTTGATCTGGTGATGCCGCTATGCCTCCCATATTGCTGCTGACTTTCTTCCTTGCTGCTAGATGGAGATGCTGTTGCAGGAAATGTGTCTGCCTGCTTGCTGTCTGTGAGGACTCCTCAGCAGGGCTCTCGGTTCCGTCACCAAAATGTGAATGGCCCAAAACTGTCCCGAAATTAAGCAGCCCGAAAAGTGTCCTGAAACATGGCGGGAACGACCCCAATCCCCGCCCAGATGCAGTGCTCAGGACCAATGTCCCGAAACTGACATATTTCGGGCGCGGAACAATCCGACCTGCCAGGTGGGTGCGCCAGTTTCCGGACAGTTTTCGCCCTAGGTAACTGATCTAACGGTCCGCAATCCAAATTCGATCCAAAATTCGTACAGCCGTCGATTATACTACTGCACAAAGCAATGTCGCGGCCCGTAGCGCGCGTAGCGAGCGGGGACGCGCACATGAACGACATATTGTGTTACAACTGTACGGAAAATTTGCAAAAGAAATAAAAACTGCTAAACACAAAAAAGGGAAAATCAAAGATCAACGCAGAGGCTGCCACATGTTGGAAACAACATGGCTGTAAACATGAGCGGAAGAAGTGATGGGGCATCGATTGGAGTTCGGTTACGTTACATAGCATCGGCCAGTGTGTGAAAAACAAGACCCTGAGACAAGCTAGAACAAAAATCGATTGACCAGGCGGTACGGTCGGGCTGTGAACGACGGAACAATGTGCGCACAAGCCAGAAACGAATCAACATCGATGACACCCACTGCATCTCGGCCAGACGTTGGAAGAAGGCGGGTGCACCCTGTGTCTGGGCAGGGTCCACGAGCAGCAGAATAGTACTGGATGAAAGCACGCTGCACCTCATGCCCACGCTCGTGTAACGCTTTGAACAACACCAGAGCTCGCCCCCACCACTCCGTGCCGGCAGCATCAATCCGGATATGCGAGAACCACTTCTGTTTTGGAGAAGCCTTAATAAACTGCCTGCGTGCCGACCATTCCATGCGGTCATGGGGGGGAATGGTGAGCGATGTGTGAACCTGCAGCCAATAATCCATGCGGGTGGGTGTGGACAGAGGAGAATATATATGGCCGGGAGGGCTTTAGGATACCACCCCATTCTGCCCCGCCCTGGTTTCGCACCACCACGTCAAACGTGATCAACGGCGGGAAGCCCCCGAAGCAGACTTCAACCAACCCATTCGGAGCTCGTCCCAGGAAAAGCCACATCCAGCTCTTGACTAGGGGGGGGGGGGGGGGGGGGGGGGGTTTGGGGGACAGGGGGGGACCCAACGCATGGCTGCTGCAGACAAATGCATTGCACCCAAGGGATGGCTGAGGCTGCCAAATGCAGTGCCACCTGTCAATTACAGATGCTTCCAAGGGCACATCAGCCAAGGGATTGCTGTTGCTGTCAGAGGCCTTACCACCAAGTGATGGCTGTTGTTGCACAACCAAAAGAAGCACAAGCAAGGGAGCAGCTCTGCCGCTCGAGGAAAAGGCAACCAAGGTGTTGCTGATGCTGTCAAAAGTAGCGCAGAAAAGGGAGGGCTGCAGCTGTCAAGTTGAGTGCAGCCAATGGTGTGGCACATACGGTCAGGGACCGTGCGGCGAACAGATGCCTGATGCTGTCTAGGGATTAGGGCAGCCAACGAATGGCTCTTGCAGTCATAGTCTATGCAGCCAAGGGACGGCTGGCGCAGTCAACGGCTTCGCAGCCAATGTCGGGGGCATAGGGGAAGAAGGAAGGTTGAGGCCACAAACCTGGACGCGTGTCTAGTGGTGAGGCCAGAGAAGTGCATCCACGTGACAGTCGTACACGGGCGATAAAAAACACAGCCCGTCAATCAAAGCCCTTGGCTGGGTGAAACGTGGGGCAGAGGCATACCTGGATGCTGTTGGATGCGATGTGCGCGCGCCGCAGGGCGCCAATGAATCTGCTCATCAGTGCAGGGCCAAGCTGCTGGGTGTATTCCCCAAGGATTGTGTCGTGCGGGTCCCCGACATCCATGCGCCGACTGGTGCGTGTCAAAACTCGCCGGTTTAGCAGCGTAGCCTGTGCAGAGGCAATACAAGAAAAGGGAGGGATAATGTCACGAGTGGTTTAGGGTACCACACACCCACCACCCAAATAGCACGTAGACGAGACCACAGCATGTATGCACACTCTGCACATATTTGACAACACCAAACCAACTTACCTGCCTCATAGCAGTCTCGTACGAAGGATCGCCACCCACTTCGCGGGTAAGCTCCTTCAGGGTGGCCATCTTCACATGGCGACGGATGATCTGTCCTGTTACGTTCACCCAGTTGGTGTTGCGCGCGGGACGTTTGACAGTGTTTTTGTGGGAATGCTCGTACAGATTAGAGTTGTATTCCTTGGTTAGGCCATGCATTCGAATGGTAGGAATTATGTGGGTTAGCATGTGGACTTTGATGATCTGCCAAAGGGACGAATGATTTGGGAATGCCATCGTCAAGAGGGCCACAACCCTGCCAATGGTAATCGTGAAGGCCACAGCACATGGGAACAATGAGTACAAACAGGGTGATGAGAGATTCAGTGGCGCCGCCAGCATGGCCCACAAGAGCTAACCGATGCACAGGCGCATCCATGTACGACAAAACAAACACCGATACAACAATGGTGTGCCTCAACAATGGTGCTAACAAGGGCAACGGCAGGCCAAAAGGGGGATATGAGGGCTGCATAGTAAAGGAGAGAATGAAAGGGTGAGGGCGTGTGGCGACTGGTAGTTACCTGTGGGTTTCCGCCTCCGCCGCGTCCAGCGTGGCGTCTGTGTGGTATTCCACATGGAACAGAGACTTGTACCAGCACACAAATGCGATTACAGCCTCAGCCACCACCGCCCGTCTTGGAAGGTGGATGATAAGGGGCATGATTTGCATCATTGCCCGATGCTCAGAAGCGGAGTATCTTGCCGCTGTTGTGAAATATGTGTCACTCGAGGGCGTCCGAAGCACGGCGGTTGGCGTATCCTGGCGAACTTCTTGAAAGCGCCTAGCTTCATGGGCAACAGGTTGACGCGGAGGCAAGTGGTACGCAGCGAAGCGATGGTCAGAGGAATGTCACCACAATAGGACGAGGAGAGGGAGGCTGTTGTGCATTTCAATAGAGTCCAAGTTTCCGGTATGGGTAGCATTGCATCCTCACGGCCACCACAGGATAGGAGGCCCTCAGCATGGACGGATGGGAATGTCTACCAGGCTTCTAGCCGTAACAGCCCAAGGCCAACCAAGGCGGTGTACCTGAAGGGTGTGAATAAACTACTCGCTCTGTTACCCGAATACCGAGAATATCACCCATCTCCTGCTTCGCACCTGCACAGTGGCGTCGCCAAAGCACCGGCAAACACGTCACACCCGATTGGTTTACCGTACGGACTCACCCTCGCCACGGCTGTGCGGCTGGGTTCAGCACTGACCACGCCCGCGCCACGCGTCAAGAAGCTGGCAGAGTTCGGAGCGCTTCCTCAAGCTAGCACGGGTGCGTGGAAGAGCGGTGAGTCTGTTATGCGCGAGTCCAGTGGCTTACCTCAGCATGACGCACCATTGTTTGCTCCGAGACACGCCCAGCGAGCTAACGTAGTCCTGTTTGCATGCATTTTGGGCCATACGGATGCCGCAGGGTCTGGTGCATGCAAGAGTGTTGAGAGCGTCTCGGACAACAACCCGCAGGAGTCCCCAAACGGTCAAGGGGAGGCCACGATGGCTGGAAGTGCGGGAGACACCATCGGCCGGGGTTTTCCAGCAGACCTTGACGACTTCCAGCATCAAGCTGTGTGGCTGAACGCCAAAGCCGCAGCAGATGCCGTTGAAGAGGTGCTCCCCCAGGATAAACAGCGCCAGCCCGTGAAGCGCGGTGGGGGGCGAGGGTCAGCGACAGGGGCGGCAAAGGGTGTTGCAGCTGGTAGGACGGATGGGGCGAGGCGGAGAAGCGACGGTCGTCCGCCGGTGGTCACCGCGCGACTTCTTGGGAATGATGCCGCCAATGACAAGGTCAACATTTACGACTTGCGGGTGGAGGAGGATGCCGACGAGACCCCACACGTCGGTGACAACGACTTCACCGAGAAGCGGGTCGAAGACTTTTACGCCGGCGATCCAGAGGCCGACACTCCAGGCTCCATGCAGCGCGAAGGCGTCGCAGACGGCACAGCTCGGGCGGCTGCAGCGTTAGCGTCACCAACACGCAGTGGCCTTGCTGGCAGGTCGCCAAGCACTGGTGGTGGTGTCTCAACACCCGCGAGAGCGGAGCAGGAGAGGAAACGCGTTTTTGAGGAACCTGATGGTGGGCGACGTCTGCTCCGTGCGCTACAGTACGGTGGGCTCAGAATGCTCGCGAACACTTCACCTGACGGGGCGGAACATGGGGTTTCGACGCTGGGCGCCGCAAGCCACCCGGCTTGCAATGGGTCATTGGCTCCCACGGGGGCAAACACCCGCGCTGCCGTGCCCACCAGCGAGGTGCCGTCTATGCAAGTACAGAGGGATGAGGCGAAGCAGGCCGGCATCGAGCTGCGCCATATGGCTGAGTCACACGGCAACGCTCTTGCCGGCGGAGTGACCCTGAGAGAGCTTTTCGCGCGGCTCGAGCGGTATGAAAAGAGTGTCATGGCTGCTGGCAACACGGGCGACAATGGCGGACATGACCATGAGCATGGTCACGCGGTGCCCAACACAGGCCTGGCAGGTGGTTGGGCATTCCAGGGCATGGCCCCGGACGTCTCCGCCGATTCTGCCCGGCATGGCGCCGTCACTCGCCCGACGCCCGTCTGCCCCGCCGCGAAACCCCCCCTCCCATCCACACCCGTTCACGCAGCTCCTGTCGGGTGCGGGGCTGCTCACGACGGGCTGGATGCCGAAAAGCCACGAGATGCAAGCGACAAGCACGACGGCTCCGATGCTGACGATGCATCACCCGACGCGTTCGCACGAGTGCCAGCATGCCACGTTGCCAAAGGTGTACGGGGAGAGGCGGCTCAGGCAACGGCTGGCGCGTCGGGAGAGAAGCCGGTCAGGGTGGTTGGGGCGCTGCCGACTGGGCCCGATGGCCGGTTTGTGGGAATTCCAGACGCAACCGAAATGGGGGTAAGTTCGTGTGACGGCCTTTCATACTCACCCATACGTGTCAATGTTGTTGGCCCAGTGGCCATTTGTTTGCTACTCCCGGCCTCATCCTGGTGGATGTGTTGGTGTTGTAACCGTAACACCACCCATCCCGTTCATCCCGTCCTTACCTCAACGCAGTACTGGCCGTTTCCAGGGGCCTTCTCCCTCTATCCCTCACTCCCCGTGCGTATAACTGGGTTGTCCATGGCCTTCTCACAGGTATGCTGCCCCCACGTTGGCGTTGCAAGGTGTCGCAGGCCTGGTGAGTATGTCCGCTGTTGTCATTTCAACCGCCGTGCCTGTCCATACCTCCTTCCACCCGCGCTGTTTGCAGGTCTCGACAGCCCAGAACCCTCCCTACTGTCCTCTCGTGACATGGTGCGTTCCCATATCTCTGTTTTGCTGCCCAACGCCCCCAGGCCAGGTGGCCCTATACCGGAGGCGGCTGACCAGGCCTGCTCAACTATGGTCTGTCCCTTTTTTCGCCTTTCCCTCTCCCTGGCTTAGTTCCCATTTTCTGAGGTGCTGCTCCCTCACTCCCTCTCTCCCCACCCTTATAGCTGCGACGGTAGGCCAGCTCACAGGTATGCTGCCCCCACGTTGGCGTTGCAAGGTGTCGCAGGCCTGGTGAGTTGGGGAGCCGTTGTCATTTCAACCGCCGTGCCTGTCCATTCCTCCTTCCACCCGCGCTGTTTGCAGGTCTCGACTGCCCAGAACCCTCCCTACTGTCCTCTCGTGACATGATGCGTGCCCATCTCTCTGTTTTGCTGCCCAACGCCCCCTCGCAAGGTGGCCCTATACCGGAGGCGGCTGACCAGGCCTGCTCAATTATGGTCTGTCCGTTTTCCCCCTTTCCCTCTCCCTGGCTGATTTCCCATTTTCTGAAGTGCTGCTCCCTCACTCCCTCTCTCCCCACCCTTATAGCTGCGACGGTACGCCAGCTCACAGGTATGCTGCCCCCACGTTGGCGTTGCAAGGTGTCGCAGGCCTGGTGAGTTGGGGAGCCGTTGTCATTTCAACCGCCGTGCCTGTCCATTCCTCCTTCCACCCCCGCTGTTTGCAGGTCTCGACAGCCCAGAACCCTCCCTACTGTCCTCTCGTGACATGGTGCGTTCCCATCTCTCTGTTTTGCTGCCCAACGCCCCCTCGCCAGGTGGCCCTATACCGGAGGCGGCTGACCAGGCCTGCTCAACTATGGTCTGTCCGTTTTTTCCCCTTTCCCTCTCTCTGGCTTAGTTCCCATTTTCTGAAGTGCTGCTCCCTCACTCCCTCCCTCCCCACCCTTATAGCTGCGCCGTTAGGCCAGCTCACAGGTATGCTGCCCCCACGTTGGCGTTGCAAGGTGTCGCAGGCCTGGTGAGTTGGGGAGCCGTTGTCATTTCAACCGCCGTGCCTGTCCATTCCTCCTTCCACCCGCGCTGTTTGCAGGTCTCGACAGCCCAGAACCCTCGCTACTGTCCTCTCGTGACATGGTGCGTTCCCATTTCTCTGATTTGCTGCCCAATGCCCCCTCGCAACGTGGCCCTATACCGGAGGCGGCTGACCAGGCCTGCTCAACTATGGTCTGTCCGTTTTTCCCCTTGCGCTCTCCCTGGCTGATTTCCCATTTTCGGAAGTGCTGCTCCCTCACTCCCTCTCTCCCCACCCTTATAGCTGCGCCGTTGGGCCAGCTCACAGGTATGCTGCCCCCACGTTGGCGTTGCAAGGTGTCGCAGGCCTGGTGAGTTGGGGAGCCGTTGTCATTTCAACCGCCGTGCCTGTCCATACCTCCTTCCACCCGCGCTGTTTGCAGGTCTCGACAGCCCAGAACCCTCCCTACTGTCTTCTCGTGACATGGTGCGTTCCCATATCTCTGTTTTGCTGCCCAACGCCCCCAGGCCAGGTGGCCCTATACCGGAGGCGGCTGACCAGGCCTGCTCAACTATGGTGTGTCCCTTTTTTCCCCTTTCCCTCTCTCTGGCTTAGTTCCCATTTTCTGAAGTGCTGCTCCCTCACTCCCTCCCTCCCCACCCTTATAGCTGCGCCATTAGGCCAGCTCACAGGTATGCTGCCCCCACGTTGGCGTTGCAAGGTGTCGCAGGCCTGGTGAGTTGGGGAGCTGTTGTCATTTCAACCGCCGTGCCTGTCAATACCTCCTTCCACCCGCGCTGTTTGCAGGTCTCGACAGCCCAGAACCCTCCCTACTGTCCTCTCGTGACATGGTGCGTTCCCATCTCTCTGATTTGCTGCCCAAAGCCCCCTCGCAATGTGGCCCTATACCGGAGGCGGCTGACCAGGCCTGCTCAACTATGGTCTGTCCGTTTTTCCCCTTGCGCTCTCCCTGGCTGATTTCCCATTTTCTGAAGTGCTGCTCCCTCACTCCCTCTCTCCCCACCCTTATAGCTGCGCCGTAAGGCCAGGTCACAGGTATGCTGCCCCCTCGTTGTCGTTGCAAGGTGTCGCAGGCCTGGTTTTTTGGGGAGCTGTTGTCATTTCACCACCGTGCCTGTCCATTCCTCCTTCCACCCCCGCTGTTTGCAGGTCTCGACAGCCCAGCACGCTCACTATTGTTCGCTCGTGACATGGTGACTTCCCATCTCTCTGTTTTTCTGCCCAACGGCCCCTAGCCAGGTGGCCCAATACCGGAACCGGCTGACCAGACCTGCCACAACGCCCCCTCGCGGGTAGGCGCGGCCAGCAGAGGCCGTTTTGCTTTGTGACGGTTAGCTTACCCACGGTGTCGTCCCCCGCAGTCGCAGTTATGGTGACTGGATGTGGTGCTCCCATAAAACCCGCTCCCCTTTCATCCCTCCTTCCACCTCTGCAGTGCTGCCAGTGACCCCAGCGGGGCGCGTCGAGATGGTCGAGCCGACTGAGCCTAGACGCGGGGCCCCTATGTGTCGCATGGGTTGTGATTGTTGTCATGCACCCCCCCAGGGCTATTATAAGGAATCTTTGGAGCGGATGGTTCGGGACGTGCCCCACGATGGCGTAAAATTCTTCCCTGGGCTCACCTCTCGGAAGTTTGGGGCCAAGGTTGTGCTCATGGAGACGCATGTGTTCTCGACGATGGAGTATAAGTTGAAGATGAAATCTCTAGATTACTCATCCCGGCTCAACGGCGTATGGTCGCATTTCCGGAACGAGACGTCCACACGGGCAAGGCATGTGGTGCTTGTGTGGATGCAAGTGATCGCCGCTGACGCACCGGCGACGGCGCGTCACATTCTTCCCCGGCGCAAGAAGCAACTGTGGAACCTTTTTGCACCGAGTAAGATCTCATGCTCCTAGTCCCTTTTTCTCTCCCCTGGTTGTGGGGCCGCATTGTGCCCTCACTCCTCCCACACACTCCCGACCCTCGCCCATGTAAGTACCGCCCGCATTTCCCACGAACACGTGGCTGGTCCTGCTATAAGCAGAACCACAATGCCTTTTCATGTGGAGCGCCTGTAGGACTGTGCATGTGCCTGTGCCTGTGCACAGTACAACGAATGCCGTAGTGTACATCCGCAGTGCCCTTTGATTGTGCTCCTCGCAAGCCATTCATTCCGTTGTGCATGTTTTTTTTCGGGCCATCACATCCCGTGTTTCATTCATATCCACTATCGTCGTGTCCAGTCTCTTGTCGCCCACCCTCGTGAGCCGTACCAGCATACTCCTCACCCTCATCCCCCCCGGTCTCAAGCTGCAACCCCCTCTTTTCCCCTGCCCTAAACTCCCATGCCCTGATTTTCCCTGTCCCCATATCCACTGCCGCATTCTCCACTTTTTCTCCTCGCCGCTGTCCTCACACACCCACCACCTCTTATCCGCTGATCCCATGTCACACACCCTCCGCCCACATGGCTGCACTCGTTCGTTTCGACCATGTGGGGCGTGTTCGTCTCCCTTCCCTCCAATTATGTACGGGCCTTAGCATTATGTGGCCGCTTGAACTGTTCTTTAGTATCCACGCGCTCCATGGTCCAAGCTATCATGCACATTGTCAGCCCTATGTGAGGGTGCTCTGGGCTCTCCTGCCCTCCCTCCCACCCTAAACCACACCTTCCCCCCCCCCCCCCTAAGGGCTTTCCTGCGACCCTTTCGTCTCTCACTGGGCATACATTCCTGGCAGAGCGTCACCGAGGGGAGTTGGTGAGCACATGGTCTAGCAGGCGCAATGACCCGCGGCCGCTCGCGGGGCGCGTCTTTTTTCAAGCCGCGGTTGCCGCGTTTGGTGATTGGGAGGTCGAGGGGAAGCTCGTTCTGCACCCATGCCACATGGCATGGGTGTTGCTGTCGGTGAGTTACCATTGCGCACCTTTCCGGCAGGGTGTTTATGGGCTGTTGCCTGTTTATGGCTGATGGGCGGTTGGTCCAGGGATCCAAGTATCCTGGCTCGCTGGTTTTTAAACTTTTTAAACCCTTTCCCCCTAACCACCGTGCCTCCTCTTCTCCAAATGTTGACCACGCGCATGCAGGTTGACTGGGGCATGCGCTGGTTCAAGGATGATCGCATGCACCTATCGAAGTCGCCAAAAAAGAATGCAGCAGCCCTGGCTGGACTTGCAGAGCTCGTGACTGCGACAGTGGACTCATTCCTTCGTAGCCAGAGGGTTGAGGAGAGGGGGTATGAGAGGCGATGGAGCGCCTTCAAGTGGGGTGATTACGGCCTCTACGTCCATGAGAGCGCCTTCTCTGCGCTCAAGCCTGTCTCGGTGGCGGGAGCTGGTTCCGCTCGGCCAGCAGCGGCGGGCGTGGCCCGGAAGCTTCCGTAGTGTCATGTGGCCATCGCGTGTGTTAGTATTGTTTAAACCGATGGGGTGGCGGTGTCTGTTATGGGGTTGGTTCTGGTTGGTGTTGTCTTTGGGGATCAGTGGATATGATTGTGGTTTGTGTGTTTTATTTATTGGTTGCATTGTTTGGTAGGGTTGAAATCATTATATCTATATGATACAACGTTCTGAAAACGATTACCATGGCTACAGAACTGTACGCCGTAATGCACTGGGCCAATTTGGGCAGGTTACAGGCATTTTTGGGACTGTTTACCGACGTTTGGGTTTCCCGAGTGTGCACGAAAACTGTCCGAAAACTGTCCGGGATGAGTCATACCTTCATTCGGAAAACTGTCCGAATGGCCATTCCCGAAGCACACCCATTTCTGCCAGGGTTGTTTGTTCCCGGACAGTTTTCGGACAATTACTTTCCGTGACGTCAAGGGTAAACATCCGGAATGTCAGGTACATTCCGGATGTTTTCACCTGGAATCCGGATTTTGAGGGTTTCGGTCTGGAAATCCTCCTGAATGATTCCGGACGATTTTGGGAGTCCACATGAGCCATCCGCGTTCCGCGAAAATTTCTCCTGGCCATCCGAGTAGTCTGGAAAATCACCCATGCCGGAATTGGAGCAGTCGACCTCGACACCCCCACCCCCCCCCTCCCCCCCCCCCGCCCCGGCCCCATCTTTCGCGCCCTTGGCCGAATTCTCACGCTTCAGTGCCACGCAACGCAACGCAATGCAATCTGATGAGCGACTCATGGAAGGCGCAAAGTTCAAGGCGGTCAGACCAATCACAGACTGCGACTAACAAGCTGCACAACTACATGACAGAATGTGGCGCGCACTCTCATGCTTTGCCCTCTCAAACTCCGCTGCTCCTGCCACGAATCTGACGCGCGAAAGCACACTTGGCGAATTCTGTCATTCATCCTTCCCTCCATCCCTCCCTGCTGCGGTTTGTCGCAACGCAACGCAATTCTAGTATGTCGCATAACACACACACACACACTTTGGCGAATTCTGCTCAGTCACGTTCGTGACAAGCCATAACGGTAATTTGAAGCAGCGCGATGCACCGTTGCACTTGATCGTGATGTGATCATATTTCGCCACAATGCCAGCCAACTTTGCGCTGCTCCCTGCTCAAACATGAGAGCGCGCATTGCCCGCATCGCTCTTTCAACACCCTTTCCCGCACGGTGCCTCAACGCGAGAAGTGGTTTGTTAGGCTATGTGCACTCTAACCTAGGCATGGGCAAGGTGGCTTTCAGCTTGAAAAGGCATAGCAAAGTCTCAAGTTAGCTAACTGTAGAGAGAAGGCAGCCTCTCATGGCTGACAATACCACCCCTGCAGCAGACCCCGTCATTGTCCCCTTGCAGTATGTCGCTGATGACCCCAAGGACATAGGCAGTGAAGAGCCCTCAGCTCAGCCAACAGTCGAGGTTATGTCTGATGATGATGAAGCAACTGAACCTCTCAACCTCACGGAGGGCGTTCTTGAGCCAGAATCTGCTAGTGAGGATGAAGCCGCTGTTTCCCAGGCTGGTACTAGAAGAAGGTCTCGTCAGACCATCCCATCCCAAAATACCAGGATCAGAAATACGGAGTAGGTATACGGTAGGTACAGCATAGGTACGTCTGCTACGGAGTAGACTTGCTATACGAACAACTATACCTACAATATAGGAGAGATCCACATTTTTGTGACGCCTTCCATTCGCACCTCCTCCTGAGCCTAGGCGCCGCCGCACCACTGTCCCTGAGCCCACGGAGGATGATGCTCCCGTTGATAACGAAGGCGATCCCATTCCTGCAGCAGAGCGACTCATTGCCCGCCATTACCGCCGTGAATGGCGGGACCACTTTGAGTGGCTGCGCCTCGAGTACCACAAACCTTCGCACCAGTATGGCTTGAAATGCACCATTTTCTTGGAGCATGGTGACGACGGGGGGCACACACGGTATGGCAGTAATGGTCTCGTCGCTGGGGACTTCCAGAAGACTAGCATCCGCTCCCACCAGCGTTCACGTGGTCATCAGTTGGCTGTTTCACGGAAGAACACGGCAGATAGCACGGAGCGAAATCAGAGACGCATGACTCAGTACGCGGACTCCGATGCTGTGAAACGACACATTGTTCGCTGCATCCATGCCGCTTACTTTGTGTGCCGCAATGATGTACCGATCCTGCTGTATCCAACTCTTGTCCGCTTCTTGGTGGACGAGGGCATTCCTGACATGGCTGGCTCAGAATCCTACGGCCGCTATTTTTCCCAGTGAGTTGCTACTTTTTGCCGCACCCTTGTGTTGTTTTGCTGCTGTAATGAGTGAAGCATGTCCTTGTTTGTTGTGCCATTTTTTTTATCGTAAACTTAACACGCAGGTTTACACCTCTTGCGTCTGATGTGTACATGGCAGGTATGCCATGAATGAGTTCACTACAGTGTTGGCACAGCATCTTCAGGACAAGCAATTGCGCTACATCAGGGAGAGTCCATGGTATGGGCTTTCTCTTGATGAGTCCACGGACCGTGCGCACGGTAAACACATGATTATTTACATGTCGTATCAGAGGACTGACATGTTGTCACACAGTTTCTCGCTTTGCTGTCAGTGGAGAGGGCAGATGCCGAGTCCCTCCTTACGGCTCTCACATCCTTCTTGGAGTCATGCAGCATCCCGCTAGACAAGCTGGTCGGGATCTCCACCGACGGGGCTTCGGTGATGACCGGACAGCAGGCGGGGCTGGTGGCACGCTTGCGACAAACCTGCCCATGGCTTGTTTCAACACATTGCATCGCCCACAGGTGACCAAAAGCTAATACTATACTTGCTGGAAATAGGAGCACTTAATAGCCTTTCCACTTACAACCTATATGTATTTGAAAGTCATTGGAAGCCTCATTTAATGTCTCATTACATTGTTTTCTACACTTCACAGGGAGGCACTAGCTGCCAAGGATGCAGCATCCCGGATGCCTGACTTCAACCCGATCGACACACAAGTTAGGAGCACTGCTGAAATTCTGGGAAGGTCTCATGTAAGGCGCCAGAATTTCCTCCGCTTGCAGCAGGAGATTCTCCGCACCCAGCTTGAGGTTCAGGGAATGTACAACATGCGGTGGCTATCCCGAGGAGAAGCCATCAACAGGTTTTGCGACGTGCTGCCCGCTCTTCTGTGGCTGTGGAACGAGGAGGATCACAGCCTGCTCAAAACAGGAAGCTCTTTCAAGTTCTTGTTTATGCTCTTCTTCATGGCAGACGTGCTTGTCATGCTGAACACCCTTAACCTGCACTTCCAGGAGAGGCAGGTGGGATGATTGCGGTTGTTTATCGTTCTTACTTTTTTCATTCTTCATTTCTTCACCTAATCTTCTCCATATATTCCATCCTCAGGTTGAAATCATGGGTGTCAAGTGGCGGCTGGAGGATGTGTGCATCCAGCTAGCACAACGCTACGTCGAGCCTAACAACCAGTTTGGCGCTGGTGTTAGCCCTCGGCTGTCCCCTTTCCTCTCCAAGCACGGTCCTGCAGAGTGTCGCGAGATGGTGATTGAGGGCTTTGCTGCAGATGGTTCGCCCACGACCCGCACCATCATCCTGCATGAGCGCTCAATTGGCGGCACCTATGGCACTGATCAAGCTTCTTGCGAGAAGCTTTGTGCTGAGTATGCGAGACGGCTCATTGCAGCTCTCAACCGCCGCCTTGGTGACATTCGCAACCTTGATGGGGCGCGCTTTTTCCGCCCTCGTGAGTACCTGCCGAGGGCAGGAGAGCGAGAGACTTCATTCGACGTTTGGCTGCAGCAGCTAGCGGACTTGTTTCATGGCTGCCTCCCTGGTTAGTAATAAGTTAATAATGCATTTGTGGCTGACATGTTGTGTCACAACTTGCAATGCTGAAACGTTGAAGTTTGAGTTTTGCAGGATTCGATTTGCAAGAGGCAAGGATCGAGATCCGCTTCTTCACTGCAGTTTTGGAGAGGCGGTACATTGGCCAGAGTTTCCAGCAAAGCCTGGCCAATATGCTCGCCAACGAGGACTGGGGCGTGTACTACCGAACATCATGAAGCTATGGCGCGCTGTCGACGTGCTCCCGCTAAGCACCGTCAAGTGTGAGCGGGGGTTTTCTAGGCAAAACATAACCAAGAGTTGGGATCGCACTTGTCTTTCTGACGTGCGCCTGGGGGACCTTATGGCTGTGAAGATGCTTGATTTCGATGTGGACTGGATGGAGGTGCATGCTGTTTTCATGTCAATGCGCAGGAGTAGGCCCACCCTTGATGGTTTCAATGGGACAGGTGGGACTTCAAACGATGGCTGAGATTTAGGGCGGGGCAAAAAGACTTGCGGCATCTGATTCTTGAAGCTCTAGCACGGCAATTTGTTTCTTCCTCCCTCTTAGCCCCCCTACTATCCCACTGTTAGGCTGCTCTTTTCTTGAACGTTCGTACGTAGGCATTTCTTTCGCCAGGACTTTCTGTAGTTTGCAGGCTAGCTGGAGTGAAGTGTCGAATGAGGCTTGGTGTGGTGGTGTGGTGTTGGTGGAGTAGCGGGCGGCAAGTGTGTCATGTCATGATTGTTTCAACTGCTGCGTGTGGATGTTTCAGTTTGGTCTGTTGGTTGGACTCACTTGCTCTTGCCTCTCCGGATTTGATACTCCAAAGTCCCTCAAGTATGTGACAATTCGGGTTGCCCAAACTTCTTCTGATGTGCAGGGCGATCCGTAAAAACATTCTGGATTTCAGATTTGAACTTCGGCGTTATCCTGAAAAAAAGGGGATTTCTCCAAGGAATCCTGATTTTTCAAGGTCCTCAGGAGCGCGAATTCTGTTTCCTCCGGGTCTTCAAAAACGAAAAATTATCCATACCTCGGAGGAGATTCTATTATCCATACCTCGGAGGATGGGTATGGGTGGATGGTTAATTTCATAGCTTTGGGAGGGGTTTTGTTGAAGTATTATTGGGTCTGCAGGCATCAGCGGCAGGAATGCTGGAAAATCACCAAGGGTTTTGTTCTTTGGCTGGCTTGCCAGCCTTCCTGCCCTTGACTTGCTTATGCTTGTCTAGTTTTTTGTTCCATGTGGGTTTCACATTATTATGAAACAGTTTATATGCTTAAACTCTGATTTCAGCGGTGTACCCAATATGAGAACTGTTACAAAAAAAATCGCACAAAGCCAGTTATGCGAACGGAATTGTTTGCCGCGAAACTTTAAGCTGCCGCTTCTGCGAGTGCAGCAGTAGTAGTACCGAAGCGCAGTCGTAATTCCGCTTCCGACGCCGCCAGTGGCGCCAGTGTTGCAGCAGGAGCACAGGAACACAGGAACACAGGAGCACAGGAGCACAGGAGCACAGGAGCACAGGAGCACGCTGCACAGCTACTATCACTTACCGGTAAATTCCTTTTCCTTTCAACCCCATCCATTCTGACTGTTCGTAACGTAATCGACACGGATCCATCGAGATCATTCCGTAAGCTGCGATACGAATCCCCGTTACCTAGACGGATCACGGAAACGAAGTTTCCGCATTTCGAACAGTTGGTCCCCGGTCAACGCGATTCGTCGAATGCCGTTTCTAGAAGAGCAATTGAACTTCAGGTCGATAACTTCAGGTCGATAACTTCAGGTCGATAACTTCAGGTTGATAACTTCAGGTCGATAACTTCAGGCCGATAACTTCAGGTCGATAACTTCAGGTTGATAACTTCAGGTCGATAACTGATGACGACTTCAGGATGATACCGAGCCTCGCTGGGGAGTTGGTCGCATTGTCGGCAGATTCGGAAGTGCTGAATCCTGAATCCTGAATCCTGAATTCAGAATCCTGAATCCTGAATTCTGAATTCTGACTTCTGACTCCTATGAGTTATCGCGGCACAGTAGTATTATCTTACTACGTAGTTCTGTAGTAATTCTGACCCTCTTTCTTGTTTCCGCCCCCTACCAATACTACTCCCCTTTTTTCAAAGCGCGGTCACTGAACAGATGATTTTTTAGTCGACACCATAATCACCTCAAGAGCGGCCACTGAACGGCCACTGAACAGCTAGCAGTCTTACGCCATGTCCTTCATGCTTCTTGGACCACCTACTCTAACGTCTGTTCCCACTCCAGCCACTCACGCCACGCCACGTGTCATCTATTCAGTAGAGGCAACTTCGTGTAGATTCCCTTCCAGATCCGTCATCTCTACTGAGCCAATCAGAATAAGCCACGCGGGATCTCCCTTCAGCCCAAGTTCCTTGACCGTCACACCGAGCACCTGTCGGGGATGCGCGATCAATTCGATGCACTGATCGTTCCGTCAGCGGCCAGTCCGTCAATGGCCGGGCCGTCAATGGCCGGTCCGTAATCGTTCCACTGCATGGCCGGACTAGAACTTGTGCGTCTGCATCGGCGGGAATCGCGACTGCGCCAGGAGCAGCAGCAGGAGGAGCAGCAGCAGCAGGAGCAATAGGTGCAGTCGGCTCTTTGCTTGCTGCCGTTGGAGTGAACACGTCCGTTCTGCGCGCGTCCCTCGGGGCCTCCTCCAAGCTCTTCTCCATGTGCGGTGAGCAAGTGTTTCAGGCCGTGTTCCGTGTTCCGTGTTCCCTCGCTGCCCTGCCCCTCGTCGCTGTCCTCCAGGTATGGTAACACTATGATGCATGGGGGGAAGTGCTTTACATGGTGCGTGGTGCTGCATGCGCTCTTGGTGCTCCTGGGATGGTGAACGACCCATGCATGAGGCGTGGCGACACCCAATGCACAGTGCACTACATCTGACTGGTGAGAGGGTGAAGCACGGACTCGTGAGGGTGAGAGGGTGAAGCACGGACCATAATACACTCGCCTACCATCAATCCCCTATACCCTCCCTTCCGTCCTCACTCTTCCCAATGCCTCATGCGCGACAGACACACATCCTCCCCTACCCCCTTCCTCCCACCCTTCCCCCTACCCCCTTCCTTCCACCCTTCCCCCTACCCCCTTCCTCCCACCCTTCCCCCTACCCCCTTCCTTCCACCCTTTCCCCCTACCCCCTTCCTCCCACCCTTCCCCCTACCCCCTTCCTCCCACCCTTCCCCCTTACCCCTTCCTATGTTGGCATAAACGCGTTTCCGCGTTTTTGCGTTTCGTTCTTAACGCTTGCATCCTGGACGCAAAACGTAGGATTTCAGGCTTAAAATATGCTTGGAAAACGCCTGCCCGGGCAGGCGGAAAATTTTGCCCGGGCAGGGGAAAGAGGGGTGGGGGGGGGGGAGGGGGAGGAGAAGGGTGAGGAGGGGACAACAGAATTTTTATTTTCACATTAACACCACGTTAAGGACACACATCCACAGCCACATCTCTCAACTACCTATCTTCTCTCCATCATCTATGCTTTTTCCATCCGACCTTCTACATCTACCCTACTCATTCTCATCCTCCATCACATTATCTTCCCCCTCCTCCGCCACATCTCCTGCCTACCTATCTTCCCTCCATCCTCTATGCCTCCTCCATCCGACCTCGTACATCTATCCTACTCATACTCATCCTCCAGCACATCATCTTCCCCCTCCTCCGCCTCCTCCTCCAGCACATTGTATCCCTCCGGCATGGGGGGCTCGGGGATGTTCCCAGCAACAACCCCAAGCCCCTCCTCCTTCTTGTACCAGTTGTGGACCACATGCCAGTTGTGGGCCACGTACACCAAATCCCGGCACTTCTCCAACCCCAAGCGGTTGCTCTTGGTGGTGTGGACTGAGTCCCACACCGCCCAATTGCGCTCGCATGCGGCTGCAGAGACGGCCTGTGAGAGGACACGGCAAGCGAGGGCGGTGAGGGCAGGATGGTCGGTGCCGTGCCAATTCCACCACCGCACCATGTCCATCTCTCCCGCCTTCACCAACTCACGGTCAGCGATTGCCTCGGCAAGGCCAAAGCTGCCGCGCATGGTGAAGAAGTCGGTGAGGCTGTCCTGAAGCACCACTGATTCCTTCACCGTCCTCCCATTCGGGAGGGTGACCATGCGCCGGTCGAAGTGGGTGGAGAGGAAATTCTTCAAAACAGTGGTGCACTCCTTATCCTTGCGGAAGATTCCCTCTGTTTGGTTGGCCGGATTGAGCATCCGGCCAACCACGTGCAAGGGGCAAGCCAAGTCTTCATCCCACCTCTTCTTCACCAACCCCAGATCTCTTCCGCCTCGTCCTCCTTCAGGAACTCCTCCCCACGCTTCTCGAGCATGTCATCCATGTCCACGGTAAGTTGCAACATGAGGTCGTAAATCTTACCCATCATTCCCTTCGCCGCCGAATCCGTGGCCCGCATCACCATAAATGGCAGCTGCATGAGGTGGGTGAAAGCTTCAGCCGCATTCCACCACCCACCATCCATGACCGCCTTTTGAGGCGCCTCGAAAGCCACGTTCCACCACCCACCATCCATGACCGCCTTTTGAGGCGCCTCGAAAGCCAGGTTCCACCACCCACCATCCATGACCGCCTTTTGAGGCGCCTCGAAAGCCACGTTCCACCACCCACCATCCATGACCGCCTTTTGAGGCGCCTCGAAAGCCACGTTCCACCACCCACCAGCCTTGCTAAACGCCTCTGCCGCTGCCCTCCTCGCCCCTGCAGCAGCAAAATCCTTCCACTCGTTGCTCAGGACGAGTTGCGTCAAGGCCCGCCACACCTTACTCAAACGCCCCACCGCTATGTAGGTGGTCCCGAAGCGAGTACCGGCCGGCCGCAAAACTTGTTTCGTCTTTCCCCCGTCCACCTTGCAGTTGCGCATGAAGTTCCGCGTGAACTGATGCTTGCGGACGAAGGCGATGATGTAATCCGCCTTCTCCACCACTGCCCGCGCCCACGCCATCTTCCCAATGTCCTCCATGAGGAGGTCCAAAACATGCGTGGCGCACGGGACCTTCTCAATGTGGGGAAATTCTGCCATCAATTCCTTGCACGCCGCGCCGTAATTGCTGCCGCTGTCGGTGCAGAACGCAACAATGTTTTCCGGGCCCACGCACTGCACGATCGGGCGGAGGGTGCTCGCGATGTATCCGCCCGTTTTGAACTCCATGTTCGTATCGATCGACTCCACAAACACTGCCCCACTGTCGTTGATGAGAAGTACGTTTGCCTGCGGCCTCCCGTTCACATCAGTCATCATGTCTCTGGCTAGGGTTACGCCATCCCTCTCCCAGCTGGCGGCGATGGGGCCAAGCGCTGTCTCCACACGCATGCGGCACTTCTGCATCCCCGCACCTCCTATGTACCGCCGCTTGGGGGCAACATAGGAAGCGCCTGCACGACCAATGCAGGAGATGGCGTTGGTGAAGATGGGGTGGTCCGAATGTGCTCTGGCAGATGAAGAGCCGCGAACATGAGTCATATTGCCTCATCCGCAGCTTTCCGATTGCACGTGGGCTCATCACCAGAAAATCGGTAATGCGGCCTCTCATCCAGTTGCCGCCGACAGCTTGCAGCTCCAAAGACTCTGCATGACGCCTGCAGTCCCTCAACTCGTTGTTTCGCTCCTGATGCGCCTTGACCTCGTCACGAGCTTTCTTGGGAATGGCCGGGCAGAGGTGGACGCCACGACGCTTCATCCCGTTCCACTCCGTCAGATGTTGTGCGGCGCGCGTCGTGCCACCAACGAATGTCGCGGGACAGTAGCGACACTTTCGCGACTCTGTCAGCTTACCGTCTGCTGCCACACCCGTCCTAAAGTTCTTGAATATCGCGTGGTCAGGCTGTTCGACGAACGTGGTGACACCGGTGGAACCCTCTCCCTCAGCTGTTTGAGGAGCATCTACTGGCGACGAGGAGGACGCCATGCTAGAGGCTGGAAATCGGATAGGTTAGCTGCTGGAAGTAGAAACGTAAGGGTAGGAGTAGATCATGGCTGTGCATGGAAGGTGAGCCAAGTTCTTCTCTACATATAGATCTGGATCTAGAAAGGGGGAATGGGTTGGGAATTCAGACACGTTGGGAAAAGGGAGGGAGAGACTGACAAGTTTGCGTGTCGCTGTGAAAAATTTCGCGAATGTGCAACGCACGAAATGTGCTTTCGATTCACGACGCGCGGCGAAATGCAACTTCGATTTCTGATATCGCGCGTTTTTTTGTGTTTTTCGCTTCCGTCAGCCCGATAAAATTCTGCGGTGCGTTCGAGCATTTTGATGTGTTTCTTAGTATTGAGTTAAAAACGTTTGCGTTTAAACTCAAAACGCAAACTTCCAAATGCGTTTTTGTCAACACAGCCCTTCCTCCCACCCTTCCCCCTACCCCCTTCCTCCCACCCTTCCCCCTACCCCCTTCCTCCCACCCTTCCCCCTACCCCCTTCCTCCCACCCTTCCCCCTACCCCTTTCCTCCCACCCTTCCCCCTACCCCCTTCCTCCCACCCTTCCCCCTACCCCCTTCCTCCCACCCGTCCCCCTAACCCCTTCCTCCCACCCTTCCCCCTACCCCCTCCCTCCCACCCTTCTCCCTATCCCCTTCCCCCCACCGTGTGCTACCCTCTGCAGGTCCTCTGCTGAGCTACCCTCGGAAAAGTCGTCTACACTCTCGCCTACCGCCGTCCCTCCCCCCTCGTCTCTGGTGCTTCAGGCATCACCCTTCTCCTTGAAACACTCTACCCTGCTCCCTTCCCCCCGCCGCGTGCTACCCTCTGCAGGTCCTTTGCGGAGCTACCCTCGGCAAGCTCGTCTTCGCCTACCGCCGTCCCTCCTCCCTCGCCTCCCCTCCCGCTGCTCGTCACATCGCCTTCTCAGTTGCCCAAAGCCTGGGGCTGAGCCCCTCCACTGCTGCCCACCTCTCAGACCTCCCCCCCTTCCCTCCTCCTCCTCCGCCTCCTCGTGGCAGCCAATCGAGGTCTTGTGTATGGGGGGTTAGCGCAAGGGGGGAAGGGGGGCGGAAGGGGCGAGGGGAGGGGGAGGTGGGTGGAGGGAAGGCGCCTGGGCGGGGAGTTTTGTCCGCGCCTGTGATGGTTGGGGCGGCAGAGCGGGCGGCGGGGAGGAAGGAAGCGGTGGTGATGTCAGCATGTGCGTTTGGCAACTCGCTCACTCTGCCTCTTGTGTTCCTGGCCACGCTGCTGAGCAAAGCTGATGCTGACAGGGCTGCTGGCTACCTTGCGCTCTTCATGGTGGGGTGAGTGCGCGACATATGACAGTGTGGCGTATGGATAAACGTCCACGCTGCCTCTTGTGTTCCTGGTCACGCTGCTGAGCAAAGCTGATGCTGACAGGGCTCCTGGCTACCTGGCACTTTTCATGGTGGGGTGTTTACAGCAGATAAACCCCTCTTCGTCCGCCGTTCCAACGTCCAAACCAACCCCCCTCTCTGCGCACACACTACCGCTGCCCCACCCCTTGCCAGACGGCAGTTGCGCCCACACCTTCTGGACCCTCACCTACTGCATGGTCCCGTGACAACCCTAGTCTTCCTTCCCCTCTTTTTCGCTCTCCCCACACCCCCTTTCAGCTGGCCCCCCACCTTCTGGACCCTCGGCCACAGCATGTTCACAGGGGGAGATAGCCAGACAGGGGAGGCGGAGGAGGGAGATGGGAGTGTAGCAGCAGCAGCCACAGCAGAGATGGGTATAACAGGCTTTGATCGGGCTCTGAACGGTGTGGTAGAGGTGCTAAGGGAAGTACTCAACCCGCCTATTTATGGAGTGAGTGCTGTATTAGTTCCCATCAGAATCTGTAGGCGTGAGGGGAATGGGGAAGGGGGAAGGTTTAAGGGGGAAGGGGGAAGGGGGAAGGTGGGAGGGGGGAGAAGGGAGGGAGGGAGAGGAACGGGGAAGCGGGAGAGGTGTGTGCAGCGGCAATAGGTGTGACGAGGTTTGACTGCACTCTGAGCCGTGTGGTTGAGGTGCTAAGGGAAGTACTCAACCCGCCTATTTATGGGGTAAGACTGTTTTCCAAAATGCCTTGGTGCGTGCTTTTTGGGGGGGGGGAGGGAGGAGGGGGGGTAGGAATGGCCTTTCCTCTTTTTCCAGCCCTTAAGACGTGACTCCAGAGAGGACGGGCTACACTACCGAACCATTCCAAGGGCTGCCTGTTGAACAGGGTGTTTTTGAGAATTCTCAAAAACAGGCTGCCTGCTGAAAAAAGCATTGCCAGCGCGCATTCCACTTCCCAGCTCCCCAGTCTCATCCCTCTTCCCTCCCCATTCTCCCTTTCTGCTTATCACAGCCGTCCCCCACTTCGTCCTCCCTGCCCCCTCGTTCTCCTCCCCCTTGTCTCGCGCGTCTGCTACTCACCTCCCCCCCTCCCTTCCATCCGTCCCCCCTCCCTTCCATCCGTCCTCCCTCCCTTCCATCCTTCCCCCCTCCCTTCCATCCGTCCCCCCTCCCTTCCATCCGTCCCCCCTCCCTTCCATCCGTCCCCCCTCCCTTCCATCCTTCCCCCCTCCCTTCCATCCGTCCCCCCTCCCTTCCATCTGTCCCCCCTTCCCCCCATCAGGTGCTAGCCGGTCTGTTAATAGGAGCCACCCCTCTCGGCCACTTCTTCCTCCCCGCCTCCTCCTCTGCCTCTGCTACTGCTGCCTCGTCTGTCACCGCGTCAGCCTCCTTGGCATGCCTCTTCTGCCTCTTCGCTCACAGCATCAGCCTCATTGGCATGGCTGTTCAGCCCTGCCACTGTTCTGTTGTGTGATGTCATCATATGCTATCACATTCTGTCTGCCTCCCATCCCATGTTTTCAACTTGCATGTGTGGTTTGAATGTGCAAGCATTTGTGTGGTGTGTGTTCTGGAGTTTGGGAATGTGTTCTGTGTTATTTTTGTTTGAGCAGGTATTTGTGATAATAGATCTTGAGAAGATCTTTCCGACGCAACAAGAATCGCTTCAATCGGAGCAAGAACGCGAAAGCTATGAAGATTCAAAGTTCATGAGCTTGCGTTACAATTGCGGCGGTTACAAAGTGAAGTTGTGGGGTGACTTTATGTGGAGTTGGGACCTTTGGGGTTGGAGAAATTTGTCACTCTACTGTAACAGCTGCAAATTGGTTGGGAACAACCAAGCTAGGTTGGCAAGGGTGGCCAACTTGGATGGATTGGTTGGGAAGGGACAAAGGTCAAAGTTGAGGTACCTATAGGGAGGGAATCTTTGTGCTTATGGGGTTTCCTTGGTTGGGGACTCTCTTGGGACCTTCCCTCTCATCCCTCTCTTCCTATCCCAACCTTTCTCTTGCTCTTCTAATTCCTTGTGAGATTCTTGAACTTTGATTGAACTCTTGAGATTGAGTTAAGTTCTCCTCCTACAGCTTACCCCCTAGTGCGTCGAAAGCCATAGCGTCGCGAATACTTCATCAATCAACATGATTCAAATTGGGAACGGTAGCTGAGATTAAGAGCTACAATATATTCAAGTTTCGCGACATTCCAACGGCTAGTTTTTCGTCGACGTCGTTTCTTGTGAAGACGACTTTTCTGTCCAGAATTTCGGATTTATATTTTGAGTAATTCTAGCTCCTAAGTTCACCTAGACTCCGTCCTTAATACTAACAAGTGGTATCAGAGCGATATTAAGGACATTGAGAGGAGTCTACAGAAGTGTGAAGACCCTTCTAGACCCACCATGGCCTGTGGGTGTGCCTAAGTGGTGTTCTAAATGTTGGATGTGTCTTCCGCTAAGGGGAAACTCTGCCGAAATTTCGTGGACGCCGATACTTGTGAAAATATCGAGGGAGCTGAGTGTGGACAGCAAAGGGGAGCTGAAATTCGTCATTTCTCAAGGAGAAGATGAATGAGAGAGGAGGAGATGCTAATGGAAGAGGAGCTGTAGCTGAGAAGGCAAGTGAGCCGCCGCCATCAAAAGTTGAAGCTTTGGATGGCTCCAACTATGAGGAATGGAGCGGACGGATGAGGAGTGCCTTCAAACGCTACAAGCTACTGAAGATTGCTGTTGGGGAAGAGAAGATGCCGGAAGAAGGCGAAGCACGTGAACGGTGGATTGAGAAAAGCGCGGTGCTTTTCGACCTCATCCTTCAATCGGTCAACAAGGAGATGTTCGAGCACATCAAGGATCTTGTGGAAGCGGATGATTCGGGTCCAAGGGCGTGGAAACTACTACGCGATGTGATTCAGCCCAACACTCTCCCGATGGTGATCGTGCTCGAGAAGGAACTTGCTGCCATCTCCATGCGACCAGGGGACGATGTGAAGCCGGTCCTTGACAAGATCAAGGACACCTATGCAAGGATGGCAGCAGCGGGCAGCAGTGTATCTCAGCTGCAGCAGTGCACCAAGATCATCTCGGTGTTGGACAACTCTTGGGACAACCTCATCCCCACCCTCAACTCTCAGCAAGATCAATGGACACCTGAGTGGCTAAGGCAGCAGATTCTGCAGGAGGACTTCCGCAGACGCCATGTGGGAGGCGGTGCTGCCACTAAGACTGCTGAGGGGTATGGAGCTGCAGGGCGCGGCAGAGGAAGAGGGGGTTGGAGAGGCCGAGGCCGTGGGAGAAGCTTTGGCAGAGGTAGAGGCCGAGGTGACTATAATGAGGGGCATGGGAGCTCCAGTGGCAGGGGGAGTACCAGAATGGAGGGCACCTGCTGGTACTGCAAGAAGGTCGGGCATCCTTGGTTCAAGTGCTTCAGCAGGCCGGAGGGATGGTCACCTCCAGGCATGAAGCCGCCAAGTGGTGAACGCGCACAAGGTGGCGCTGTGCAAGGCTCAGGTGCACAAGGTGAAGGTGCACAAGGTAACGCCTATCCTGGGATGTATCTCATGGTTGAGGATGTGCATGGGCATGAGGGTGATGTGGGATCTGTGGGAAAGGTTGTGATGCACCCTCTCACACACTGGGTGATTGATTCGGGTTGCACCAGTCACATGACTCCACGGGCAGATTTGCTTGATGAGGTAAAACCCCCTGGGAAGATTAAGTATGTGGCAGCAGCGTCATGTGCTTTGCTCCCCGTGATTGGTGTTGGGAATGCCAAGGTTAAGGGAGCTAATGGGGAGCTTGTGGGGCTTGGGAATGTTCTGCTGGTTAAAGGCTTGTCTGCTAACCTTCTCTCTGTGCGGCGACTGCAGAAGAGTAAGGCCGAAGTGACCTTTGGACCAACCAGCTGCCGTGCTAAGCTTGGGAAGAAGGTGCTGTGGAGTCTGGAAGAGGAGACCAGCTGCATCAAGGTCCTGTGGCAGCTGCCCATCATCCCATGGAATGGGAAGACTCCAACAGCAGCAACGGCAGCAGCGGCAAAGGCAACAGCAGGAGGAGATGCAACTGCACCAACTGATGGGGTCCTGGAAGCAGTCAAGAAAGTGCAGCAGCAGCAGACACATGGTGAGGTGCTTGCTGGTGTGGATGCGAGTGCGGCATGGGCTAAGGCTTCATCAAAGAGTGGAGAGGCCGATTGGGAGACATGGCATGAGAGGCTGTGTCATGTAAACTTCCCTATGCTGCAGAAGTTGGTGAAGAATGGGAGCCTGAAGGGCTTGGAGGTGAAAGGGGGAGTGAAGGAGATTGGGAGCTGCCCTACATGCTTGGAGACCAAGTTCTCCAAGTTCCCCTTCAACAGCACTACAGGACCAGCCAAGACCCCACTTGCACTTGTGCACATGGATGTGGTGGGGCCCACAAGAGCCCCTTCCCTCTCAGGCAGCCGCTATTTCTTGACAATTGTGGATGACCACACTCGGGCAGTGTGGGTTTACCCTTTGAAGAGCAAGGGGGAGGTGGCAGCGGCTGTCCTTAAGGAGTGGATGCCGAGAGCTCAGAGGGAATGCGGACACAAGGTGAAGGTGATCCGTAGTGACAATGGTGGGGAGTTCATTGGAGCTGATTTTGAGGGGGAGTTGAAGAGGAAGGGGATCCAACATCAACTGACAGTGCCCTACAACCCGCAGCAGAATGGCGTGGCTGAGAGGTTTAACAGGACCCTGCAGGAGGGGGCACACACTCTCCTTGGGCGTGCAGGGCTGCCTGATCCGTTTTGGGTGTCTGCACTGAGGCAGGTCGCCCTTGTGAAGAATAGGGTGCTGGCTACAGTTGGGGATAAGGAGTGGATCCCATATACCAAGTGGTATGGAAGTGCTCCAGCTGTGAATATGCTGAGGGCATTTGGGTGCATGGTAGTGTTTCATGTGCCTAAGGAGAAAAGAGGGAAGTTGGAGGCTTCTGGAAGATGGGGTGTGCACTTGGGGATTGCAAAGGATCACAAGGGATGGCTGCTATGGGACTTGACCATCCAGAAGCTGACAGTGTCAAGGGATGTGAAGTTTTTTGAGTCCCTGTACTACAAGGAATGGAAGCAGCAGCAACAGAAGCTTCCATCTACACCACTCATTGTGGAGGCAGATGAGGTGCAGCGGCCTTCAAGGCAGGTGGAGGTTGCAGTGTCTGAGGAGGAGATGTCTGGGGTGACTGAAGAAGGGGGAGCAGCTGAAGTGGAGCAGCAACAGCAACATGAGTCTCCACCTCGAGTTCCACACCCGCCTGAGCGACCTAGGAGGGATGTGCGCCCTCCTGTGAGGCTGACCTATGGAGGAAGAGGCAAGCCAAATGTGGTGCAGGCTGGGAGTGTGGTTGAGCAGATTGAGGAAGATGAGATTGCATTATGCTATTGGGCTGCAATTCCTCAGCCCAAGGTACTGACGCTAGCTTCAACTCAGTGAAAGCGGATGGCACCAGCATTGGGGGATATGTGTGCTTGCTAGGAGGTGGTGCTGTGAGCTGGCGCAGCAAGAAGCAGAATGAGGTGGGATTGTCCTCATGTGAGACTGAGTACATGGCCTTACACCATGGGGCCAAGGAAGTGGTGTGGCTGAGGCGCTTGTTGGAGGAGTTGGGAGTTGGTCAGGAGAAGCCGACAGTTGTGTTTTGTGACAATGAGTCCGCTGTGAAGCTCGCCAAGAATGCTTGTCTGCATGGGCTGACAAAACACATAAGGCCTAAGTGGCATTGGGTGAGGAGACTCCTTGATAAGGAGGTGCGGCTGGAGATAGTGAAGACCCATCAGCAGGCAGCAGATATTTTCACCAAGCGTCTGGCGGAGGCGGATCATTGGAAGGGCATGAAGCTTGCTGGGATGAGTGTGCATTGAGTATGCATGCTTGAGATGTGGTATGGTCGATGATGGTTGGCAGCCAGAGGGGGAGATTGTTGTGTGATGTCATCATATGCTATCACATTCTGTCTGCCTCCCATCCCATGTTTTCAACTTGCATGTGTGGTTTGAATGTGCAAGCATTTGTGTGGTGTGTGTTCTGGAGTTTGGGAATGTGTTCTGTGTTATTTTTGTTTGAGCAGGTATTTGTGATAATAGATCTTGAGAAGATCTTTCCGACGCAACAAGAATCGCTTCAATCGGAGCAAGAACGCGAAAGCTATGAAGATTCAAAGTTCATGAGCTTGCGTTACAATTGCGGCGGTTACAAAGTGAAGTTGTGGGGTGACTTTATGTGGAGTTGGGACCTTTGGGGTTGGGGAAATTTGTCACTCTACTGTAACAGCTGCAAATTGGTTGGGAACAACCAAGCTAGGTTGGCAAGGGTGGCCAACTTGGATGGATTGGTTGGGAAGGGACAAAGGTCAAAGTTGAGGTACCTATAGGGAGGGAATCTTTGTGCTTATGGGGTTTCCTTGGTTGGGGACTCTCTTGGGACCTTCCCTCTCATCCCTCTCTTCCTATCCCAACCTTTCTCTTGCTCTTCTAATTCCTTGTGAGATTCTTGAACTTTGATTGAACTCTTGAGATTGAGTTAAGTTCTCCTCCTACAGCTTACCCCCTAGTGCGTCGAAAGCCATAGCGTCGCGAATACTTCATCAATCAACATGATTCAAATTGGGAACGGTAGCTGAGATTAAGAGCTACAATATATTCAAGTTTCGCGACATTCCAACGGCTAGTTTTTCGTCGACGTCGTTTCTTGTGAAGACGACTTTTCTGTCCAGAATTTCGGATTTATATTTTGAGTAATTCTAGCTCCTAAGTTCACCTAGACTCCGTCCTTAATACTAACATGTTCAGCAATGCCACTGTTCAGCCCAGCCACTGCCGGCATTCTACACCCCCTCATGGAGGTGAGGGGGGTGGGCACATGGCACATGGCATGGTGGTATGTGCTGGCTTCATCATTTTACTCACAGCGTGGCTCTTCAGCCCTGACAAAGCAGGCGTTCTGCACCCCCTCATGGAGGTGAGCATGCATTCTTTTACGGTTGTAGGAGTACGCAGCAGTGATAAGTAACCGCACATGGCGTTGTGTGTGTGTGTGCCTGTGCAGATTACTCTCCCTCATCACACGTGGCGCTTCAGCCCAACCACTACGGGCGTTCTACTCCCCCTCATGGAGGTGCGCACACATCCCTTTTCTTTACTGCATGGCTCCGTGATACACACGTCTTGGCCCCCTCCCACACGTCTTGGCGGTCTGTGACTCTGCCGTGACCCCACCCACCTCATGACAGCGTGGCTTTTCACCCCAGCCGCTGCGGGCGTTCTCCTCTTCCTTATGGAGGTCGTCAGCCTCCTCCTAGTTTGACGGGCTTGTACTGATGAAGCCTCGCAAGAGCCGAAACTACTTTTCTCTGTTTCTGCACAGTCCCTTACCACCCCAGCTAATTCACCAGCTGCTGCCTCTGCCACTGCTGCTGCTGCCACTGCTGCTGCTGCCATTGCTGCTGCTGCCACTGCTGCTGCTGCCACTGCTGCCGCTGCCTTTCTCGCTACCTCTGTCGCAAAGTCCCCTCGCCATCCCTCCATTTCAGCCTCGCCAACTAGCCAGTCAGTAGGACCTTTTGCACCACCACCTGCTCATTCATCCACTGTTGCTGCAGCAGCAGCAGCACCAGCAGCAGCACCAGCAGCAGCAGCACCGGCAGCAACAGCAGCAGCATCATCACCAGCAGCAGCAGCACCGGCAGCAACAGCAGCAGCATCATCACCAGCAGCAGCAGCACCCGCAGCAACAGCAGCAACATCACCAGCAGCAGCAGCAGCAGCAGCAGCAGCAGCAGCAGCAGCAGCAGCAGCAGCACTGGCAGCACCGGCAGCAGCAGCAGCAGCAGCGGCTGATGCTGCAGCAGCGACCAATTCGATCACCAAACAGGAGGGGGCGAATCCTGCGGGAGCCTCGCTGCTGAGAGCAGGAGCTGAGGAGTGGTGAGGCCCACGGGTTGCAGGGAGCAAGGAATCTGGTAGGGCAGTGGGAGCATACACGCCAGCAGCAATGGGGCCTGTAGGAGGAGCACATGTGCCAGCAGCAACAGAGCCTGTAGGAGGAGCAGTAGGGGTTGCTGCAGGGGTGATGGCAGGTGCGACGGCAGGTGCTGGGTTAAGCAGCAGTGTTGGGCATGACAATGGGATGTATAGCAGTAGTGGGTATGGCATGACTGGTGGCAGAGCAACACACACTGGAGGGTCTGCAGTTGCCCTTCAAATGGGCGTTGTGACGTCAGCAGGCACGGCAGCCTACCAGTCTGGCGGTGCGGCAGGCTCGGCAGCATTCCAGCCTGGCGGTGCGGCAGGCTCGGCAGCATACCAACCTGGCGGTGCGGCAGGCTCGGCAGCATACCAGCCTGGAGGTGCGGCAAGCACGGCAGCAGCCGTGGCTACTGGGGCTCCACCTGCTGGCGGTGGCTTTGCTAATTCCAGTGGAGGGGGAGGGGTGCAAGGAATGGCGACCACTCATGCTGCTACTGGTGCCATGGCATGGCGCCATGCTACATGGCATGGCATGGTCGGGTCTCCTCCCGCTACATGGCATGGCATGGTTGGCTCTCCTCCTGCTAGATGGCATGGCATGGTCGGCTCTCCTCCTGCGGCTCATGCAGGGCTGCCTAGTGCGCTTCCGTCATGGCATTTGGGAATGGGACCTACCAATACCACAGCTGTCCCCTCCGCTGCTTCCACTGCTGCTGCTGCTGCTGCTGCTGCTGCTGCTGCTGCTGCTGCTGCTGCTCCTGCTGCTGCTGTCAATTACACTGGAGCTGCTTTCGGGGGCCATGCTGTGCCTGAGATGTCGTTTGGCATTCCTTCCGAACCTGGAAGTTTAGCTGGTTCGGAGGTCTGGTCCGGGACTGGTGTACTTGGTCCGGATGCTGCAGCTGGGGCTGGTTGGAGTCCTCCTGATGCATATGCAGCTTCGGCAGCCGCTTGGGCAGGTATGGGAGTGTCAAATATATGTATAACTCATATTTGTATAGACTGTATAGGGTCACCTCTTAGAGGGTACAACACTCTTAGGTATATACCTTTGTTCTCTCTCTCTAGTATACACTTGTTCAGTTTTCTTCTCGACATGGTATCACCCGTAGGTTCGACCCCCCCCCCACCTACCGCTTCCGCCCGTGCCTCCTAGGCCCCGTCGCGCTTTCACCTAGGCCCCGTCGCGCCGCCCCCACCTAGGGCCCGTCGCGCCCCTCCTGGGCCCCTATTGCGCCTCCTAGCCCGTCACGCCCCTCCTGGGCCCCTATCGCGCTTCCTAGCCCGTCACGCCCCTCCTGGGCCCCTATCGCGCCTCCTAGCCCGTCACGCCCCTCCTGGGCCCCTGCCGCGCCTCCTAGGCCCTGTCGCGCCCCTCCTGGGCCCCCGTCGCGCCTCCTAACCTGGCGCGCCCCTCCTGGGCCCCTGTCGTGCCCCCTAGCACGTCGCGCCCCTCCTGGGCCCCTGCCGCGCCTCCTAGCCCGTCGTGCCCCTCCTGGGCCCCTCGTGCCCCCTAGGCCCCGTCGCACCTCTCCTGGGCCCCGTGTGCCTCCTAGCCCGTCGCGCCCCTCCTGGGCCCCTGTAGCGCTTCCTAGCCCGTCGCGCCCCTCCTGGGCCCCCGTCGCGCCTCCTAACCTGTCGCGCCCCTCCTGGGCCCCTGTCGTGCCCCCTAGCCCGTCGCGCCCCTCCTGGGCCCCTGCTGCGCCTCCCAGCCCGTCGTGCCCCTCCTGGGCCCCTCGTGCCTCCTAGGCCCCGTCGCACCTCTTCTGGGCCCCGTGAGCCTCCTAGCCCGTCGCGCCCCTCCTGGGCCCCTGCAGCGCTTCCTAGCCCGTCGCGCCCCTCCTGGGCCCCTCGAGCCTCCTAGCACCCGCCGCGCCTTCCTGGCCCCACCGCGCTACCTGGCCCCGTCGCGCCTGCCTGGCCCTGCCGCGCCTCCTGGCCCCGCCGCCCCTGCCTGGCCCCGCCGCGCCTGCCTGGCCCCGTAGCGCCTGCCTGGCCCCGCCGCGCCTGCCTGGCCCCGCCACGCCCTCCTGGCCCCGCCGCGCCTGCCTGGCCCCGCCGCGCTGCCTGGCCCCGCCGCGCCTGTCTGGCCCTGCCGCGCCTCCTGGCCCCGCCTCCTGACAGGGACGCACTGGCCTTTGTGAGGACTGAGCTTCTGAAGAGACACATCTGCACTGACCTTGGAGAGCTGCGCCGCTATCTTGGCCTGCAGATCTCTAGGGACAGAGCAGCACGCACCATCATTCTGACCCAGTCACTCTTGGTGCGTCAGGTCCTTCAGAGGTTCGGTCTTCAGTTCTCCTCTGCACAGCCCACACCTCTACCTGTAGACCACGAGCTTTCCGCTCCTGTTCCTGAGGAGCCAGTAGAGCCCAGCGGTCCCTACGCAGAGCTGGTGGGTTGCCTCATGTACTTGATGACATGCACTCGCCCAGATCTCGCATACCCTCTCAGCATCCTGGCTCGCTTTGTGGCCACTGGCAGACACCGACCACAGCACTGGTCGGCTGCTAAGAGGGTTTTGCGATATCTAGCAAGTACATCAGGCATGGGGTTAGTGTTAGGAGGACGCAGGCCAGTGGTCCTCACTGGGCACACAGACGCTTCTTGGGCAGACGACTCTGAGACGCTCATGTCGTCGCAGGGCTACTGTTTTAGCCTTGGTTCGGGTGCTATATCTTGGAGATCCACTCGCTCGTCGTCTGTTGCTCAGTCGAGCTGTGAGGCTGAGATCTACGCCGGTGCCATGGCGGCACAGGAGCTCCGCTGGCTGACCTTCTTGCTTACTGACTTAGGTGAGCGGCCTAGCTCTGCCCCGGTCCTGTACGCTGACAACAGGGCCATGATACTCCTGTGTCAGGAGCCTCGACTTGAGGGCAGAGCGAAGCACATCCAGCTGCGGTACTTCCTCCTGCGCGAGCTACAGCAGCGCCGCCAGGCCCGCGTAGTTCACTTGGCCTCTGGTGCCAACACAGCTGATATCTTTACGAAGGCGCTTGCGCCTAAAGATCATCAGCGGCACTGTGTACAACTCGGTCTAGTTCCTGTAGCCTCTCACTTGCTAGGACCTTGACTTTGTACTGTCCTATATATATCTATATATGTACTCAGACTGGACTTGTGTCCTCTCCCAGTGGCTGGACTAGTAGTGCCGCCCTGGTCTTGTTCTTGTCTTGCCTGTACTCCTTTTGACTGGTCTTTAGACCCTTGTCTCAGTGGCTGGACTAGTAGTGCCGCCCTGAGCTGCTTGTTTAGGATTTGCCCCTATGCAGTCTAGGGGGTGTATCAAATATATGTATAACTCATATTTGTATAAACTGTATAGGGTCACCTCTTAGAGGATACAACACTCTTAGGTATATACCCTTGTTCTCTCTCTCTATTATACACTTGTTCAGTTTTCTTCTCGACAGAGAGGGCATGTTGGTTCGGGTATGTGGTCCGGGATGAATGATGGTGCAGCAGCTGCTACTGCAGTGGGAGTAGGTGGGGTACTGGGAGGGATGTGGCCGGGTATGGGGGAAGTGGGTGTGCAGGGTATGGCTGCTGGCATGGTACCAGGGGGGGTGATGATGGGTGGGTATGGCATGCATATGCATAGTGCAGGCGAAGTTGATGGGAGTTATGATGGGAGTGGTGCCGCAAGTGTTGGCTTTACTGCTTTGCATTGTCCGATATGTCATGGTTACCTTGCCACATCTCCGACTGATTTGACGACTCATTTGGATCATTGTGCTCATTATAATCACTAAGGCCTTACCTATACTCTGATGCTTGATTAATTTACACGTTGCTGTTTAGTATGTGCTTCTCTTGTCTCTCTTCTGAATCTCTTCTCTGATTGTCTTGCCAGTATACATTGCCTTGTTAATATTTGTGGAAAGTTATGTGTTTGTTTGTTCCATCGAAACGGATGTAGTGAAAGCATGTGGCCTGTAAGGCTAAGACGAGGAAGTACAATATCGAGGTTGCCAAAAGGCACGCCTGTGACTGCTGGTTCGGCTGCAATTCCCTCCATGCGCGTCGCTTTGACCCATGTCTCTCAAGCACAGTCCACGACATTCAACGCCTTGTCCATATGACCCTCCTTACCCAGACGTAAAGGAAAGGCTCCGATCCCTCTCGGGCCACAAACCAAAATGAAACCGAACCCAGCAAGCCGATTCACCCATGCCGAACCTCATGCTCCACGAATTCTTCACGTCGCCCCTCCAGTTGACCAGTCTTTTCGCAATTCGGAAATCTCCACCCTTCAGTCAACCCAACCGTTGAGCGACTCGAGAGATCAGCAGCCATATAAACTGGATCCAACATTTCGATCTCCATTCATCTCAAACTTTCCACCTTGCTTTCCTCTGTTCAACCTCGATTACTAGTGACCTCCACACCACACCACAGCCAAGCAGCCTGCTCAACTTCGATTTGCCAAAATTCGATTTGTTTTCCAGCAATCATGGCAGCCAGAGCCCTCTTCCTAGTCTGCATTGCTCTCCTCCTCGCGACTTCCGCCTTGGCGGCGCAGCGAGGCCCGCCTGGCGGAGTCCGTCCCGGCGGACAGGGGCAAGGGGGGCAGCGCGGAGGGCCTGGCGGACCCGGCGGGCCTGGCGGGCCTCCTGGGCCGCGCGGCCCTCCGCTGAACCTGACGGCGGTCGGAAATCTGACGGCCGACGTTGGCGCTCGATTGGCCAATTGCTCCGCGGACCAGACGGTCCTCGACGGCCGCTTCCACCTCGCCATCTTCAAGTGAGATTCGATCCCCTTCGTCATTTTTTTTGCCGAGAAGACCCTTTGGGGGAACGAAAACCTTCTTTATTTTATTTTCCGCACACCCCTTACTCTAATGTTACGATTTACGATTGTCTCTGGTTGTATTATCATTATTCTGATATTTTCCGTCTCTCCCTCCCTCCCCCCCCTTCTGCAGGAACGCCACCGGCAATTACAACCTCCTCGTCGAGGCGCTCCTCGTAAACGCCACCGGCGGGCCGCCCGACTCGCTCGCGATCGTGCAGGGCGCCGTGTGCGATTCCTCCGCCTCCGCCGCCGCGCTGATCGCGCTGCCGCTCTCCGCGTCCGACTGGCAGCAGCGCGCGGGCTGGTGGCTGCTGCACGCGGAGGCGCGCCTCGACGCGTTCCTCGAGAACGCGGACGCCGCCACCGTCGATGCGCTCCTATCGCTCCTCCCCAACGCCTCGCTCCCGGCGGCGCGCGTCAGCGGAGGAAGCGGCGCCAGCGGGGGTAACGCGGGGGGCGCGCGCAGCGGGCAGGGCAGCAGGCGCATGGGGCTGGGGATGGGGCGGGAGCTGCTGATGCGCGCAGCGGGGCGCGTCACTGGCGGCAGGCAGGGGGGCCAGCAGCAGGGGCCGCCTACTGGGGGTGCGGGGGGGATGATGGCGGGCGGGGGGGCAGTGGCGGAGTGAACGCAACTGTGAGCGGGTATGCCGTGCTCGCCACTGCCACGGCTGGCGTGGCGTGGGGCGGGCAGCTCATGGGGGTCAAAATTCCCGCCATGGCTTGACCTGGTGATGCTGCTGCTGATGCTGGTAGCTAGCTTGCCATGCCGCAGCTGGGTATGGCGGTGCTGCTGCTGCCCTGCATGGTTCTCAGACAGGGAAGGTGGCGTTTGCTTCTGTGTGTGCAGAGGAAATTGGTAGGATGTGGTTAGCAGGGGGGTTGGTTGGTTGGGAATGGGATGTGCTTGTTGAAGAAGGGAGCATGAGGGGCAGGACTGCTGGCAAATCACCAAGAGCTGCGATCCTCCAGTTGTCGCCAGCTGAATTGCCAGCCTTCCTGCCCTTGCCTTGCTAAGATCCTCCGTTTGTTTTTTGAAGTGAAGTAATGTCTTAATTACCGTAGTATTTACAAGTGAATCACTGCTTCTCGAGTTGTGGAGGGCAGGCAGCTCATGGGGCTAAAAAAATGTCCCGTGCTTCTTGATCTGCTGCTGCTGCTGCTGCTGCTGCTGCTGCTGCTGCTGCTGCTGCTGCTGCTGCTGCTGCTGCTGCTGCTGCTGCTGCTGCTGCTGGAGCTGCTGCTGGGCCTCCCTAGCAGCTGCCATGCATACGCGGTGTTTGCTTGTGGGTCACACAAAAGAAGGACCCCTGTGGCAGGCAGGAGGTGAAAGGACATCCGCCACTCTCTATCGTTCCAAAATCTCTCAGATAGTCATGTTTAGCCGCGCCAGGAATACTGTGATCCACACTGTGATTGGCAGCATGGAAATGGCGTACTGTGGGGGGAGGGGTGAGGGGGAGGGGTGAGAGAAGAAAGGAAGTAACAGGAAGAGTGGGCATGGCAAGGGGTAGGACCCGCTGAGGAGAGAGGTTCAGACTGTGAAACTGTGATCCACACTGTGATCCACACTGTGATCCACACTGTGATCCACACTGTGATCCACACTGTGATCCACACTGTGATCCACACTGTGATCCACACTGTGATCCGCACTGTGATTGGGAGCATGGAAGTGGCTAATGCTAAGGACCGCTCAAGGGATGAAGAGAGAGGGGTTAAGACTGTGATCCATACTGTGACTGGGAACATGGAAATGGCGTACTGCAGGGGGGGAAAGAGGGGGAGTGGGTTAGATTGTACACCTTTGACAAGGCATATCCATGAGACAGCCCCCCCCCCCTCCCCTTCCTCCCTCTCGCCCCCCCCCTCTTCCCCCCCCCACACACTCCCAAACACACAACCAACCACAACTCCACAATCCCAGCCCACCGGCACACCCACCTGTCGGGGCATCAATGAGGCAAGCATTTCAGCCAGTGGCTTTGTGGCCGGGCCTAGCTGCGACATGAGCACACACACAGCCCCTCCCCACTCCCCGCTCCCCCCTCCCCCTTCCCCCCTCCTGCCTTCCCCCTCCCCCTACTCCTTTCTCACAGAGACCCACCTGTCGTAGCATCAACGAGGGGAGCATTCCCGCCAGCGGTATTGTGGCCGGGCTTAGCTGCGAGATGGGAACACACACACCCCCTCCCCCCTCACCCATCCCCCCTCCCCCGTCCTGCCTTCCCACCCACGCCCACCTGTCGTAGCATTAATGACGCCAGCATCCCAGCCAGTGGCTTCGTGCCCGGGCTTAGCTGCGACATGAGCACAAGATTCTGCGCCGAGGGCATGGCGGTCTGGATCTGCGTGTAGGAGAAAGGGGGGGGGGGAGGAGGAGGGAGAGAGAACAGCGGAGAAAGAGTAGCAAGCACATGCACAACAAGAGGCAGCGGTCTTGTGGCCGGGCTTAGCTGCGACATGAGCACAAGATGCTGAGCCCATGACATGGCGGTCTGGATCTGAGAGGAGGAGGGGAAGAGGACCCATGCGGCGAGTGAACACACGAGAGAGAAGAGAGGAGAAGAACGTCAAGCGCCAGTGGCTTTGTGGCCGGGATTGGCTACGACACGAGCACAAGGGTGTGAGCCAACGGCATGGCCGTTTGGATCTGATAACAGCAAACTCGAGCAAAGGAAGAAACGAGAAGACGACAGGAGCTTTCAGTCGACTCAAAGGTCAAACTCGAGCAAAGGAAGAAACGAGAAGACGACAGGAGCTTTCAGTCGACTCAAAGGTCGAACACGAGCAAAGGAAGAAGACGACAGGATCACGAGAGAGAGAGAGTAGGACGAGGTGGCTGAAGACAATGGTGATATGCGCACAATATTACTAGACGACCACGCGTGTGAGAGCGTAGAGGGGTGGGGAGCACGCGTGTGAGAGCGTGGAAGGGTGGGGAGCACGCGTATGAGAGCGCACATGAAGACCTGTATATGCTAACACTCTAGACATGAGCACAAAATTACAGGGGTGGGGACCATGCGTGAGAGGGCATACAGGGGTGGGGACCATGCGTGCGAGGGCATACAGGGGTGGGGACCATGCGTGCGAGGGCATACAGGGGTGGGGACCATGCGTGCGAGGGCATACAGGGGTGGGGACCATGCGTGCGAGGGCATACAGGGGTGGGGACCATGCGTGCGAGGGCATACAGGGGTGGGGACCATGCGTGAGAGGGCATACAGGGGTGGGGACCATGCGTGCGAGGGCATACAGGGGTGGGGAGCACGCGTGTGGGAGCACACATGAAGACCTGCACGCTAACAAATTGGTTCTGAGACGTCTCGAAATTGTAGGGAAGAACTGACCATGAGTGTGAGAGGAGTCTATTTTTGAGTAGGTGACTTTTGAGGCGCCTCAAAAATAGACTCTTCTCTGAATTGGAGGGAAGTACTGACCATGAGTGTGAGAGCACAGATTGGGTCCTGTGGAATGATCCTGGCGTTGTACAGTGCCTGTGCCGCAAGGGGAGGTTTGAGGGGGCAGTGGGTCGACGAGGAATGGAGGGGAGGTGGGAGAATGTCGGAGAAGAAAGGTGGGAGAAGAGAGGTGGGAGAAGAGAGGTGGGACCAGGCGCAGCACCAGGTGCACAGCACACAACCCACAGCACTCCATCATCCAGCAACATAGGAGGGAGAGACCCCTCCTCATGCCGCCCCTTCCCCCCCTCCCCGCTTTCCTCCCTAATCCCTCACCCACACTGATAGGACTCTCACTACTCACCATGATTCCCACAATGCCAACAATGGGCAGCAGCACCAGGCGCACAGCACACACCACCCACAGCGCTCTATCGTCCAGCAACGAGGGCAGAGGAGAAGGCGAAGAGGGAGAAGAGGAGCCTCTTCCTGCTTCCCCAGCCATGCTGCCACCATCACTGCCGCCAGCACTGACAACAGCTGCAGCAGCAGAGAGGGGTGGCTCCACTCTTATCTCTTGCATGCGAAGGCCAGCGAGGGCTGGCAGTTGGCTGCCGTTGAAGAGAACAAGGGAGGAGGGGGTGCTGGCTGGAGGGAAGGGGGGACGGGGGGAAGGAGGAGAGGGGGGGGGGGTACATATGCACAGGTGGGTGACCGCACATCCCACTATATATGATTGTTGAGTTGACTCAAAAAAGGTGATTGTTGAGTCGACTCAAAAATCACAGGTGGGTGACCGCACATCCCGCTATATACTCATGCCAAGGCCGGTGAGGGCCAGCAGTTGGTTGCAGTTGAATCGAACAAGGGAGGAGGGGGCGCTGGCTGGAGGGAACGGGGGGGGGGAGGAAGGGGGGGGAGATATTCACAGATGGGTGGGTGGCTTCTCTATCCGATTATACTGTAACTCTTATACTGTCACCCTTGTACTGTCACTCTTATAGTGTCACTCTTGTACTGTCACTCTTACACTGTCACTCTTGTACTGTCACTCTTATACTGTCACTCTTATACTGTCACTCTTATACTGTCACTCTTATACTGTCACTCTTATACTGTCACTCTTATACTGTCACTCTTGTACTGTCACTCTTAAACTGTCACTCTTGTACTGTCACTCTTATACTATCACTCCTATACTGTCACTCTTGTACTGTCACTCTTGTACTGTCACTCTTATACTGTCAATCTTGTACTGTCACTCTTATACTGTCACTCTTGTACTGTTACTCTTATACTATCACTCTTATACTGTCACTCTTGTACTGTCACTCTTGTACTGTCACTCTTGTACTGTCACTCTTGTACTGTCACTCTTGTACTGTCACTCTTATACTGTCACTCTTGTACTGTCACTCTTATACTGTCACTCTTATACTGTCACTCTTATACTGTCACTCTTGTACTGTCACTCTTGTAGTGTCACTCTTATACTGTCACTCTTGTACTGTCACTCTTGTACTGTCACTCTTATACTGTCACTCTTGTAGTGTCACTCTTATACTGTCACTCTTGTACTGTCACTCTTATACTGTCACTCATATACTGTCACTCTTATACTGTCACTCTTATACTGTCACTCGTGTATTGTCACTCTTATATTGTCACTCTTGTACTGTCACTCTTATACTGTCACTCTTATACTGTCACTCTTATACTGTCACTCTTGTACTGTCACTCTTATACTCTCACTCTTATACTGTCACTCTTGTACTGTCACTCCTAGACTATCACTCTTATACTGTCACTCTTGTACTGTCACTCTTATACTGTCACTCTTATACTGTCACTCTTGTAGTGTCACTCTTATACTGTCACTTTTGTACTGTCAATCTTATACTATCACTCTAGTACTGTCACTCTTATACTGTCACTCTTATACTGTCACTCTTGTACTGTCACTCTTGTACTGTCATGCTTATACTGTCACTCTTGTACTGTCACTCTTATACTGTCACTCTTATACTGTCACTCTTGTACTGTCACTCTTGTACTGTCACTCTTGTAGTGTCACTCTTGTAATGTCACTCTTGTACTGTCACTCTTATACTGTCACTCTTGTACTGTCACTCTTATACTGTCACTCTTATACTGTCACTCTTGTACTGTCACTCTTATACTGTCACTCTTGTACTGTCACTCTTATACTGTCACTCTTATACTGTCACTCTTGTAGTGTCACTCTTATACTGTCACTCTTGTAGTGTCACTCTTATACTATCACTCTTGTACTGTCACTCTTATACTGTCACTCTTATACTGTCACTCTTGTACTGTCATGCTTATACTGTCACTCTTGTACTGTCACTCTTATACTGTCACTCTTATACTGTCACTCTTGTACTTTCACTCTTGTACTGTCACTCTTGTACTGTCACTCTTGTAATGTCACTCTTGTACTGTCACTCTTATACTGTCACTCTTGTACTGTCACTCTTATACTGTCACTCTTATGCTGTCACTCTTGTACTGTCACTCTTATACTGTCACTCTTGTACTGTCACTCGTATACTGTCACTCTTATACTGTCACTCTTGTAGTGTCACTCTTATACTGTCACTCTTGTACTGTCACTCTTATACTATCACTCTTGTACTGTCACTCTTGTACTGTCACTCTTGTACTGTCACTCTTGTACTGTCACTCTTATACTGTCACTCTTGTACTGTCACTCTTATACTGTCACTCTTATACTGTCACTCTTGTAGTGTCACTCTTATACTGTCATGCTTATACTGTCACTCTTATACTGTCACTCTTGTACTTTCACTCTTGTACTGTCACTCTTGTACTGTCACTCTTGTAATGTCACTCTTGTACTGTCACTCTTATACTGTCACTCTTGTACTGTCACTCTTATACTGTCACTCTTATACTGTCACTCTTGTACTGTCACTCTTATACTGTCACTCTTGTACTGTCACTCTTATACTGTCACTCTTATACTGTCACTCTTGTAGTGTCACTCTTATACTGTCACTCTTGTACTGTCACTCTTATACTATCACTCTTGTACTGTCACTCTTGTACTGTCACTCTTATACTGTCACTCTTGTACTGTCACTCTTGTACTGTCATGCATATACTGTCACTCTTGTACTGTCACTCTTATACTGTCACTCTTATACTGTCACTCTTGTACTGTCACTCTTGTACTGTCACTCTTGTACTGTCACTCTTGTAATGTCACTCTTGTACTGTCACTCTTATACTGTCACTCTTGTACTGTCACTCTTATACTGTCACTCTTATACTGTCACTCTTGTAGTGTCACTCTTATACTGTCACTCTTATACTGTCACTCTTATACTGTCACTCTTATACTGTCACTCTTGTACTGTCACTCTTAAACTGTCACTCTTGTACTGTCACTCTTATACTATCACTCCTATACTGTCACTCTTGTACTGTCACTCTTGTACTGTCACTCTTATACTGTCAATCTTGTACTGTCACTCTTATACTGTCACTCTTGTACTGTTACTCTTATACTGTCACTCTTATACTGTCACTCTTGTACTGTCACTCTTGTACTGTCACTCTTGTACTGTCACTCTTGTACTGTCACTCTTGTACTGTCACTCTTATACTGTCACTCTTGTACTGTCACTCTTATACTGTCACTCTTATACTGTCACTCTTATACTGTCACTCTTGTACTGTCACTCTTGTAGTGTCACTCTTATACTGTCACTCTTGTACTGTCACTCTTGTACTGTCACTCTTATACTGTCACTCTTGTAGTGTCACTCTTATACTGTCACTCTTGTACTGTCACTCTTATACTGTCACTCATATACTGTCACTCTTATACTGTCACTCTTATACTGTCACTCTTATACTGTCACTCGTGTATTGTCACTCTTATATTGTCACTCTTGTACTGTCACTCTTATACTGTCACTCTTATACTGTCACTCTTATACTGTCACTCGTGTATTGTCACTCTTATATTGTCACTCTTGTACTGTCACTCTTATACTGTCACTCTTATACTGTCACTCTTATACTGTCACTCTTGTACTGTCACTCTTATACTCTCACTCTTAGACTGTCACTCTTGTACTGTCACTCTTAGACTATCACTCTTATACTGTCACTCTTGTACTGTCACTCTTATACTGTCACTCTTGTACTGTCACTCTTATACTGTCACTCTTATACTGTCACTCTTGTAGTGTCACTCTTATACTGTCACTTTTGTACTGTCACTCTTATACTATCACTCTAGTACTGTCACTCTTATACTGTCACTCTTATACTGTCACTCTTGTACTGTCACTCTTGTACTGTCATGCTTATACTGTCACTCTTGTACTGTCACTCTTATACTGTCACTCTTATACTGTCACTCTTGTACTGTCACTCTTGTACTGTCACTCTTGTACTGTCACTCTTGTAATGTCACTCTTGTACTGTCACTCTTATACTGTCACTCTTGTACTGTCACTCTTATACTGTCACTCTTATACTGTCACTCTTGTACTGTCACTCTTGTACTGTCACTCTTGTACTGTCACTCTTATACTGTCACTCTTATACTGTCACTCTTGTAGTGTCACTCTTATACTGTCACTCTTGTACTGTCACTCTTATACTATCACTCTTGTACTGTCACTCTTATACTGTCACTCTTATACTGTCACTCTTGTACTGTCATGCTTATACTGTCACTCTTGTACTGTCACTCTTATACTGTCACTCTTATACTGTCACTCTTGTACTTTCACTCTTGTACTTTCACTCTTGTACTGTCACTCTTGTACTGTCACTCTTGTAATGTCACTCTTGTACTGTCACTCTTATACTGTCACTCTTGTACTGTCACTCTTATACTGTCACTCTTATACTGTCACTCTTGTACTGTCACTCTTATACTGTCACTCTTATACTGTCACTCTTGTACTGTCATGCTTATACTGTCACTCTTGTACTGTCACTCTTATACTGTCACTCTTATACTGTCACTCTTGTACTTTCACTCTTGTACTGTCACTCTTGTACTGTCACTCTTGTAATGTCACTCTTGTACTGTCACTCTTATACTGTCACTCTTGTGCTGTCACTCTTATACTGTCACTCTTATGCTGTCACTCTTGTACTGTCACTCTTATACTGTCACTCTTGTACTGTCACTCTTATACTGTCACTCTTATACTGTCACTCTTGTAGTGTCACTCTTATACTGTCACTCTTGTACTGTCACTCTTATACTATCACTCTTGTACTGTCACTCTTATACTGTCACTCTTATACTGTCACTCTTGTACTGTCACTCTTGTACTGTCATGCTTATACTGTCACTCTTGTACTGTCACTCTTATACTGTCACTCTTATACTGTCACTCTTGTACTGTCACTCTTGTACTGTCACTCTTGTACTGTCACTCTTGTAATGTCACTCTTGTACTGTCACTCTTATACTGTCACTCTTGTACTGTCACTCTTATACTGTCACTCTTATACTGTCACTCTTGTAGTGTCACTCTTATACTGTCACTCTTGTACTGTCACTCTTATACTATCACTCTTGTACTGTCACTCTTGTACTGTCACTCTTATACTGTCATTCTTATACTGTCATTCTT